AATGCTTGAAAATAGAACTGCTGTTTGCATATATACTATATAAAAAAGGACCTTACGGGGGGGGGGGGGGGGGGTCGTATGGTTTTAAGGGATCTCAAACAACATCAAGTTTACTCTAACAAAAGTACAGAGATAATAAAATCAGTAGAATAAACAAGTCATTCAGAATGCAATTGACACAACTATTCTGACAGCCAACAAGAATTAAGCTGACTATTGCTAAGGTTATATTGAAAAATTCAAATAACAAATCTCAAACCCTAAACTAACTAGTATTGATAAATTTCTTTTCCTCTCACTTTTGAACTGTTAGGTACATTTCCAAAAAGCACCTTTGATTGGAGTGTCTAGATTTTGTGTAGTAATCACACAAAAGCAGGGTAAAATGCAGAGATATTCCTGCTTTGAACAGTCATACATCAAGCCTTAATGGTACTGTATCACTTGATTTCAAATCAACTTGGTAATCATTAGCTGATCTAAACCATGATGATCCCAAAGCATTTGATTAATATATTGATAGAGCCTTGTGATCCATTCCACTTCATAGTTAGATGGATATGCCCTTACTCTCAAAGGTACAGGTGTTGTGGTCGAATCAATAAGTCATTGGACTGTGGATCACAGAGACTGCGATTCGAGTCCCGCCATGGCACTAATGTCCTTTGGCAAGACATTAATCTACATTTGCCACTCTCCACCCAGGTGTTAAATGGGTACCGGTAGGAAGGAATTCCTTGAATGCTGTGAGCGCTGAAATCGGCTGCCAAGCAGAGCCGGGGTAATAGTTGGAGCGCCTTGAGCACCATGCATGGTGGATATGTGCGCTATATGAATATCCAATATTATATTATTATTATTATTATACCACCAGATTTTATCAAATCCATTATTCAGTTATTGGTATTAAAGGGAGATGGTCGTCACTGGCAAGCTTTCTTCTCTCAGTGAACTTCACACATGTTTGAGTGATGTTATTTGTATTATTTGCACAATATCATATTACTGTAAAACCAGGATTTTATCACCCATCTGGTAGCAAGAAACTTATGCATCAGGCTCAAGACCACTTGTACAAACTCACTGTGAATGTTTGTTTGACAGTATGCAAAGCATTAAAGCTATAGCATCTTATTAACAACAATTAGCACTACTACTTAAGCATTTGTACACAATGCTCACAGATCTGTGCAGTATTTGACATGACCTTACATAGACTGACTGACCTGTGCAGTAAGTATTTGACATGACCTTACATAGACTGACTGACCTGTGCAGTATTTGACTGTGGTACGATAGTTTTACTGTTATATAAACTGTTGCTATGAAAGTCACAATTTTTGTCTTCTTTAGAATACATTACATGATGTGAAGTAGACTGTTCTTATCAATTTTTAATATTCGGTGCAATGTGAAACCCATCAAAGTGAGCAAGTGGAACAATTTGTGTACAAACTACCAAAATAATAGCTCTAAAAATGTCTGCATACATTTTGAGATATCCATGATCACATATCTGCTCCGATGAATGTAAATTATATACTAAAAAGCAATGCATGTATAAATGATTTTCAGAGCAGTTTGCCAAGATCTTTAAATTACTTCTACAATTTTTTTCCATTATTTAAGATACCCAGGTTATCATACCAGTAATATATGAGTTTGTCCGAGGTGAAATCTTTGACGAACGGAATGTAGATTATCATAGTGCATGATGGGTAGGAATAGAAGATGTAGTTGCAAGGTCAAAGGTCATCATAAATATCTGACTACAGAAGCACAAGAATAATCAAGATTGTAATAATAGATAATGATCAATTCAACAATGCACTCAACAATTTTTGTTTCACAATTCTGCTAGAATAACAAAGGAAAGACAACCACACATCTTCACATTTGTGAAACTAGCATAAAAACGTGATTGTGCCACATTCCTGTTTGATTCTACACACCACAAAAGGGCAAGATGCTATGTCATTTCAAATTTATGAAACTATCCAAAACTGTTGCTTGACATTTGTGCTAAAATCTGTATACAGTACAATAGCAAGACGACACAAATTGTTGAATAAAATTTCTGCTATACTTTGTATGCAGTATCGGGTATAAGAACAAGATTTTACTCAATTTTGTGAAAACATCATATCACAAAAAAATGCTCTTTGACAGTTCTGCCAACATCTGTATACAGAAGAAAAGCATGAAACAACACTCAAACTTTGTCATACTCTTATTATATGCCCAAATTAGTGGAATCAAATTTGTCAAAAATCAATGTCCAAATGTGAGACACATTAAAATGGGTGTATTTTTGATTATCTCTATCTACAACAAAGATACAGAGATAAGGGACAATGAAATCCTATTGTCATAAAAGGGCTTTTGGTTTTTTTTTCAAGTAACTGCCAGGCTATTTAGGACCATGAATGATTGATTCATTTAGGGTTAGATTTTCGCCTACTTCATCTGATCAATCCTGCCATAAACTCTTCATTAAAATCAAATTGATAATCTTAATATTATGTCCTCTTCTTTTTTATTTTATTCCCCCCATTCACTTAAAAGTAAGCTCCAACTTTAGATATCTAAAGCTCATTATTGAATGGATTATAAGAGTAATTTGCACCTTTCTCAAAATTCAACAACTCAAATACGATAATGTATTTGATACTATCTTATCTTCCTTTCAAATTCTTTCAACAAGAAACCTTGGTAAAGAGAGTCAATAGAATTTGAGATCGCTACGCTGCCCATGTCTGCTTTCAAGATACAGGAGTTTCAAACTCTCTTGTAAAGGAACACTGGTAGGAAGAAGCCTTAGATTCTACAAATCCAACACTGCCCACACATGTTCCAGAATGGTTAGCTCTACAAGTATACAGTATAACTGCTGATAGTTTGTAATCTGATTTTTTAATCTCTTGCCGGGTCAGACAGCAACAAGACATTCTAATGTTGACTGGTCGTCAGACAACGTTGTTTCAAGGCCTGTAGCGCCCTCATGAGTCTCTGATTAGCCAGGTCTAAGGATTGGATGCGAATTTCTTGGGCGTCGATGATCTTCTGTTTGGCTTTGACTGCACCCCTCATCTCCACTTGCTCCGCCCGCAGCTCTTCTTCTACGCACATCAACCTACAGAGGGCAGCAAGCAGAAATATTGTAAGAAAAAACATGCCACAACTTGACAAAATAATACATTGAGTGGTGATCAAATTTTACTTTTTAGTCAATATTTTCATCATCAATAAACAAGCATTTAGTTTGTAGTTTTTATGTCTGCAGAAATGGTTTGAGATATTTCACACAATGAATGTATTTTTTCATTTTTCATTTACTATGATAGGAATTATGGATGTACATAATAAATAAACAAATAAACAAATGAAATTTCTATTCATGCATTAACCTCTTTCAAGTTCTATCTACCGGGTATATATTTATAGCTGGTTCTTTATCTAAAATGATAATTATATTTATATAGTTTATAACTGTACATGGTTGTTTATATAAATTGTGAATATGATTTATGATATAATTCTATATACCGTAAGTTTAAATCATGCTTTTCGTTTCAGTACAACTATTGTTTTTTAATCATCTAACTAGCTTTCATTGCCTATTATAGTTATGTGATGTCCGCTGTTACTTGCAATGATTGACTAACAAGTGATACACAGGAAAGGAACACAAGATCTATTATAAAGCATGTTGGCATAGAAACACTGCAAACAATGTTGAATTTCATTCTTACATCTAGCTAATTATTACACACAGAGATGCTGCATTTTAAGTATTGAACAGTTTGTCTGTTTGGGGCCAGAAGGTCATTAGCTCATATATACTGTAACACAGAGGTAATGACCTTCTGGCCCTCAACAGACGATTTGAAAGCACACATAGTTTGTTAAAGCCATGCATGTATTGTTGAGGTTTGAAGCATATATGCTGCAAAGAGAGATGGTTATTTGATACTCATCATACATGCAAACTAGCAATATTAATTAGATATGTTAAGAACCAGAAAGGCATTACATCTGTAATGAAATATATGAAGTTAATGTCCTTCTAGTTCTGAACAGACAGGTATTCTGCCTCTTATCATGCACTCTCAAGAGATTCTTCTCACTTGAATACTACATGTGGACTAGCAATGTGTAAGGTGCCCCGCAAGAAGGCCTTTATTGCCATTGACAATACATTGCTCTTACGACCTTCTTGCTGGCAGCCCATGACTCACAGTACTCTAATGATACCCTATACCCTATACTCCATCCATACTCCCCATCACGCCATACTCCCCACCACTTTCAACTCACACCACTGCATTTGTGCTTAAAGGGACATTACAATGCAAGCTATAAAAGTGAAAATAGAACTTAAGTGTGATGGCTACTTTTGGGTTAAAATATTGCTTTAAACATAAACTTACTTCAGGCAATGAAAATAGAATTGTAATTTGAGAGAAATTGTCATACACTGATTTTGAGTTGTCTATTTTGAAGAAGATGGGCTGTTTAGACCAGCAAAATTGGATGTCTGCAAAGAGCCACAAGCTCATATCATATTAGCAACTTCTGACTCTCAACAAGAGGAGAAGTCAACAAGAACCTGCTGGAAATCACATTCACTCAAAAACATTACTCATATCTTAAAATGAGAGTTTTCGTTTCATAAAGGAAAAAAGGTGTACTTATTAAGTCATGAAAGTAAAAAGCAAGCTGAATGATAGCGTTAGGATAAAAACACTGTGCCAAAATGTTAACACTTTGATTTCTGTGGAAGCTGTTGTAGCAATTCTTCTCTAAATTGGCACCATCACAGACGGAGCACAATATCTTCTATTTCAAAAGAAGTGTTTGATTCATCACCTGCTCACGATCTCATCCTAAACCCTAAACCAATTTTGAAGCGAGAGACTTGAATTATAACTCAATCATTTCAGAATGTTTTGTGCATTATGAAAGGGAATTATCTTACACATACATTGATAATGTAGGCATTGTCATCAAGACGTTTCTGCATTCTTAATCACCAAATCCACAAATTCTCCTCAAGGCTTTAACCTTTATATATTACCAAACATGTATTCTATTCCTGCAGACTTAATGGATTCAATTGACTATCTTCTTTTTACTTTAATATACTTGCTTAGAATGAATCGTTATTCATGATTCAATACAAAATTATCAAATGAAATTGTTGATTTCATGATTCATGAAAAACTTGTCTATGGGTACATCGATTTAAATAGTAAAAAAATGTTTGAAATTTTTTCACAATTATACTGCTTTGAAAAGAATTTAATTAATGTCCAATACCATGTATGAAGAAGAAATTTGTTATAAATCATAAAAAGAGTGATAAGATTAAAATTACATAAATATATGAACCTACAGATGGATACCTATGAACTTATTTTCCCAAACACCTTTCCCTGCATACCATGGTATAAAATGTGTTAGATGGACAAATTGGTGTAGGAACAAGGAAGGTATGAATTTGTTGGGGGAAAAAAGAAACCTTCTCCACCACATGATTCAAATAAATTTGAATATTAAAAAAAAAAAAAAACACAGAATGGGAGATTGATGATGACTGTATCTGTCTGAGCTACATAAACATGTAGTATGTTATTACAAGAAATGCCAAGAGACAAAGAATGTTCATCAAATACATCATGATTGGAGTATGATTATTCAGAACACATCTCTGCATAGTTCATCAAACTTAAAGGTAATACAAAGTTTTGGTAAATTTTGAAAATTGGGTGGATAGTGATTCTTTACAATTTTGATATATTTGGATGCCCTTGTGGATGTATTAGAAGCACTAGAAAATTTAGCCCCTAAAACACTTCTGCTTTCAAGAAAAATTGAATATAAATATTTACTGGTGCTCCCGGTAAATTTTGATAAATTTCAAATAGCGCCTATGGCCGTACAATCGTAGCTGCGACCATGAAAATCTCAGAATATGTAGTTGGGATATATAATTTCCAAACGGGAATAGCTAATTGGTCGATTTTAGTCAAGAAACATTGTTTCATAGCTAAATTAATATTTAGACCTTGAGAGGGAGCTATACAACATAAAGAGTTTATTATTTATTAATTTCATAACTTAAGACTCGATTTCAACCGCGACAACGATCAATGTATATTGTAGGAACGCATATGCTTCAAATATGTTAATTTGAACCAAATTCATGACCCCATACCAAAACTTTGTAATACCTTTAAAGTAGAGGTTTATCGATTTAAAGATTGATGGAATTTATATCATTGCATAAGGGAAGGATAGATCAAACAAGTTTATCAAAATTCCCTGCTTGGAAACATTTGAAGTAACGATTATTATCAACCTACGCAGTTGACCAAAAACTTGATTGTCATGCATCTGCGAGCTTCCTGGTCTTTAGAGATAAGTTATTGGCTCATTTTGGCTGTACTTGTAATATCTAATGAATGTGTACTTAACATATTTATCTGTATCTGGCTTTGATTTATAACATGCTGCAAAAGCTAAACTTTAGGTTAGGAAGAACTAGAACAAACAGATCAGTATGAATTATGGGATCAGGGTTGAATTATCAATGAAAAGTATTACGAACTACATAGTTAATGATGCAGGGAGATTTCTCATTTCTGATTGATGATTGGTCGATTTAGGAGGCAAGCTTTTTTTGTTAAACCAAGTATTCCATGTACATGCTATCAGGGAGTACACACTGATTGAGTGTAGAAAACGTATGATTGTTTAGAAGGAGGTACAAGATTGTTCACATGGTTTTCTTGATGAGAAGATATGAGAAATACAAAGTGAGAAAGAGGGACAGAGGGGAATATGTAGTGAGCTAGAGAGAGAGAGCTAGCTACATAGGAGGGTAGGAGAGACACATGAATACATCAAGAGATTGATAGACACATAGAGGATGTGGAAAAAGAAATCAACTTAATCAAGTTACATAACTAATCATACAGAGAGAAAATCTTCAAAGGATAGAAAGTTCAAATGGAGGAAAAGGAGAGTAATTGAAATACAAACTATTAGGATTAGGAATTAGGAAAAGTCAAAATGCAGTGCAATTAAATCACTAAAAGTCCAAATTGTCATTTATGTAATTATTTTCTGCTTCTGGAAGTAAGAATTGCAATTTTGAATAAGTTGGAATGTTTTCTTTCCTTTTTGGGGTTTGTTTACAGGACGGAAAGATTAGGCATGTTTAGGGGTGTATTTTGTGGTGCAAGCAGGGCCTGGGTGTGTCAGAGCATGCTGGTACCAGGGGTACATGATAGGGGTGAATGAAAGGGTGTGTGTCTGTGATCGGTGGTGGGGTGGGGTGGGGGAGGGGGTATCATACCATGTTGCGGTAGTGGAGGGAACATGAATGTAAAACAGGGTATGTACATACAAGAAGGTAAAAAATGTGAATATTTAGAGACAGAAAGAATTTTCTGTCTTGCAATTAGATAAGGAATAATTATTTTTAAACTACAAATCTACCACCATTAAAACAAACTTTCAAATGTCTCATATCTATCAGTTTTACTTGATAATGGCTAAATAATTGAAAATATTAAAAATGTTACAAAATGGCTATAAAAGATCCCACTCAGTAGGAAAAAAAATGAAATTAAAATTTTCTGTACAATTACACGTCTTCTGCGAATGGGAAAGTTGTTTGACAATATATCAGAGAGACAATATCAATTCACATCAGTATAGTAATTTCCAACTTTAAATCCCTTTTTGATAAAAACTTAACCAATCATTTATTTTTCTTCATTTTCTACTTTCCTTCAGCATACTCTTTTTCGCTTTAGCGTACCCTAATTTCTATTAAATGACGATGAATTGACTGGTTTGAATGTCAAATGATCAAATATGTCAATGATTATTTTATTCCTCACGATCACAATAAACACTGAATATGAATATAATGGTGATTTCAGATTCAGAGAGTTAGCCAACAGACTTCAAAACTTGAAAGAAAGAATGATACTGACATTGTTATGGCATTCCAAAGGTAATAAGAGTATTATTAGAGCCTCATTCAAGTGAAATGGTTATAATGAGTAAATAGGAGGTATTTATTTCCCCAAGATGCAAAATTGTTACCAACCAGAATTCCCCCTCGGTCTTTTCATCATCTACAACTTGACATACGGAGGAGCGCAACTCAACCCTGAATGAGACAACACAGCACCAAAAATAATCATCATTGTAAGCATGACATTGGTAAGCTAGAAGGGCATCAAGTCACTGAATACTAACCCCAGCCCCAGTCACATCAATAACACCAAACACAATGGCCCCTGTTTCACAAAAATTTGAAATCACCGACCAGTTAGCTACTGAAATCGCTGCATCTGATTGGGCTGTGACCAAATATGATTTACAAATGTGACTTATATCATTGAAGAAGAAAAACCCAAAGTTAAGTGAAAAAGGGCCTAGACTGAAAACAGAATTAACCATGAATTGAACCGCTTAGATTCGGGATGGGGTAATTTTGGTGATGTGACTGAGGTTTGAAAATTGGCAAAAGGACTTTGGCCCTACTTGGTATCTGAGTACCAAAGTTAAAGGGGGAATCAATGGGGGATGGCATAGCAAAGAAGCAAGAAATCATAGAAAAATAAATCAAATTAACAGTATGACTAAGAAGAAATAAAAGCAAAGCTGGAAGTAGAGAAAGAAAATAAACATAAAACACAAAAGATAACAACATAAAGAGGGGGAAAAAGTTGAAGCTTGGCTGCAAAAATAATCAAAACGAGCTAAGCTAAAAATGAATGTCATTAAGGTACATAAGAATAACAAATGCAAATAAAAAGACTCTGGCAAAAAGTCAGAGCAAAAGAAAACAAAAGCATACAAGGGAACTAGATTTCTATTTTTAAAAAAGTATAAGGGGGGGGGGTACACATATAATATAATGCTGCTAGGGGTACATAAGTCAATAGGGGTGCAAGGGTCAAAAGCTAATACAGCATAAATAATACTAAGAAAGATGAAAAAAGGTTGCAATAGACCAGTTTCATCTTAGCAAATTGACTTTGAGACAAGCTGCTAATGAAAGGGAGGGAACGAGGGCAATCTGTTGGGTGGGGTAGGAAATGGAGGGGGGGGGGGGTGGGTGGTAGCTGTCCAAGGGAGGGGTTGCTAGAAGGACACTAACATCGAGAGAACCGGTCGTTATTATACCTTCGCTACAGTCGGTTCAAATATGTGAGAATGAGGTAGACGTGTGAGAGAGAAGGGAAGGGAGACACATGGCATATGGTTAGAAACTCTCAATGAAGCTAAAATGAGTGCAAGGTAAGTGTTATCATGGGCAAAGGGAAGACATTTGAAATCACAATCTAATGTACAGTGTATGGGTATTCTACAAAATCATTCCAATCTACTTCCAATTGATTACGAGATGGGAATGTGTCAAACATCATCTTTAATCTCTGACCTTACGATCCATTGTATGAAATCAACCAAATTAATGATTATATAATGCCTCGGCTCTAAGCCTTGTCTGAATTCATTTTTCTTATAACACACATCTTCTATTGAGAGTCAAAAGGCCTTAACTGCTATTCTCAATGCCCTTCTGTCTTTCAACAGACATACAATAACTGGGGAGGGAATAGCAAGATATTGAAGTTTCATTTAAAAGGAAATTAACAAAAATTGAGATCAAAACCACTACCATAGCTGTAGAAACTGATGTATCATATATGCATGTGTACATGGAATAGTCACCTTGTAACAGCTTACAAGATAGTATATAACCACTTGTTTCAGATCAACAAACCAGAATTGGTGACTAAGTGTCTATCATAAGAATATTTTTCACTTCCACACATAATCCCAACAAAACAATCTTGATTGCTCATCAGAGTAAGGAGAAAAAACACCCCCCTCATCAAACTAACTACCACTCCACACAAACCCTGTCCTAAACCATCTTCCATACTAGAAGAAAAAAATCAAACACAAAGATGAAGCAAAAGAGCAGTAGCTGTTTTCAACAAAATTCCTCTGTGCTGTAATATTATATTTCATTCCAACTGAAATCAAGAAATGAATGAAAAACAGTGTAAGGAAACATGAGAATGATGGAGTGATGATGTAAGGGTAAAGGGATATGAAATAGAAGGGGGAAATGGAAAGAGTTATCAAGAGTGAGAATGAAAAACTTATAAGAAATAAAACTTTGACAAAAATAATTACCTGAACTTTGAATTGAAATTTGCAAAAGAAATAAGTCATATTATTTTGTAAGCATGAATAAAATAAGTAAGTTATGGCAATGATACTTTGTCATTTAATCCATTTGATGAACTTTGAATTGAATTGCGATGATATTTTCTCAAACATTATTTGCTCAAAAACAAACAATAAAATCAATACAAAGTTTAAAATTTGTTAAGACAAATAAAACAATTTTGATTTGAAAAAGAAAAGAAAGATACAATCAGTAATGCCTTCTTCCTTTTAAAGAAAAATGATGGAATGTAATTTGAAACAAAAATAGATAAAAATAGTTATTTTACTAAAAAAAAAAAAGAGGTTAGAAGCATTCTTAATAATGATCCAATAGCTATATTCTCAATATCTAATCTCTAACTTTTAAATATTTGCATTCCAGAGATGCTATCAAAAACAAGGATAAAGATGAATAATGATATACAGAGAATGAGTGATGAAATGAAATGATGAGGTGAAGTGAGGTGATGGAGGCAAGCGAGTGATCGAAAGTTGAGAGAAAAGCAACGGTGACCATGACGATGACGACGCATACATACCGGCTAGCACAAGGGTGGGAGCTAGGCATTATATCTAGAGGTTGACCATTAGCTATTAATCGGAGGGAGAAGAAAAGGGAGCAAGTGGCGGAACATGAAGGTTGGAAGACAAGATGTAAGCATTTTACATACAATATAAGTGAGGGCCTACTACGTTAGGGGAGGGGGAATGGATGAGAATTTACAATAACATGGACAACTCCCATAGTCCTTGGATCTTTGTGAGGGAAAACTAAACGTCCTCACAACTTATTTCACATCTTAATATATCAAGGACGTACAGGGGTGTATGGTGAACATGAATATATCAGTTCACACATATCATAAAAAAGGGGTACGTAAAACCAACCATATCTATTTAGAAACACAATGATTAGTTTTGAAAGGAGTAAACAAACTTGATCATTATCAACACACAAAGCTACCATATAGTTATTTCACCTATTTAATTGATTGCAAACAAATTCACAGTTTTCAATTCTCAAAATTAAAGCCTAAAATCAGTCTCCTTCTGCGTTCTACAGGGGACAATTTTAGGCCCCTTTATTATCTAAATTTATATGATTTCTATATTGTTATTTTTTTTTTTTTTTTTAAAGAAAAAAAAAAATTTTTTACAATGAAAACACGGAAATCAGCGGAGCTACATTCCAGTTTCAAGAGTGACTGTGGACCACATGTTATTATTTTCATGAAAGGGCACAAAGTCTATTACCCGTATATAATCTCCCAGTCCATCTACCGTATTCCAAGATGACTATGCAGTATTTTGAACGGAAACAATTTGTAAGGTTATTCTTGACTGTCCTCGCCTGTTTGTCAAGCTCCCTTCCCACCGCTCTCTATTAATGATTATACTTCTTTGCAAACTATATAGGATATAGGCAGGTTGTCTTCCTAATGAAGTGTAACACAACCTTAATCTTTCACCTTAACATATCGGTCTGCTGAGAGCCAGAAGAGCTTTAACTCCTAACATTTGACAGAGGGTTAACATCCCTCTTGCTATCAGAGCACAGTATGTCTATTATTGCTTAAGGGTTTGTTTGTTGCAATTTCAAACCACATCTCTGGTGACATAAGAATTATATGAAGACTCTTTTGAAACCCTCTCAACTAAGCTATTTTTATAACACACCCCTCCCTCCAAAACAAATAACGGCATTTTGCCTGTAACAGTGATAAAGTTTCAGTCTTCAACATTTTCACCATTAAGCTGTAAAAGGATGCCAATATTAATCTAAAAATATCACACAAAATTCATCACAGATCTTTGTGATTATTCTGTAAAGAGGAAATTGAAATGAATTTTTTTTGAGGGAAAGTGCATGATAGGATAAGATGGAGCAGCCCCAGTTATACAGACAATCACAATTATCTGTCTTTGCTAGCACTATGAGAGTATAAGGGGGGTATCTCTGCTTTTTTTTTCTTACAAGATGGCCTCATTGCCCATGCAGCAAGGTTATTTATTTCACTTGGGAATAATAGCACCACTTTACTCATAATTTACAAATAATTACAAGAACAGATACACAGCATTTAGAAATTAATGTTAAAAATGGGAATTACAGTTCATTGTCACAGATCCTAGGAATAGATCTTTAACATAATTAGTGGTTAGCTTGCCCGACACCTATCCAGATTTGAAGATTAAGCATCAATGCTTTGGGGTGTTTGACCCCTGTTATTGAGAAGTAAGGATATTCAATGGCAGTACGAAGACGGATAAGACTACTCCTTGAATTTCATCAAAAAAGGGATCAGAAATTCACATACATAAAGTGGCAATTACATTTACTTAAGCCTAGTTTTTCACATAACTAGTACATTCACTTTCCCTGCAAAAAAAGGATAAGGTCTGAATTAAGCAAGCTATCTGCAGACTGTGGAATAAGCATTAGAATGACCTTTGACCTCTTACCTGCTAATGACATCTCTGATCTGCTGCTCTTTCTCCTGTTGCTGCACCTTGAGTTCTGTCTCTGTATCCTCGACCTTTAACCTCATCTCATGGAGGGCAGCCTCGGCCTTGACATCCTCTTCTTCAAGCTGTTTCTTGGTCTCAGCCAGCTGGGATGACATCCGCTCTAATTCATCCTTCAGGTAGCAGATCTCATTCTCATACTGAAAGTTACATACAAAATGATAGTTCTAACTTGAATGGTATGGATATTAGTGAGGACAGGTTTTGACACACAAGGTAATAGTACGGTAACCAGAAATATTGCAATGCGATTGTATCCCCCTGGCACTGGCAGTGATTTTTGTGTCATCCTTATGTTCGAAGGAGGGACAAATTTCCCCTCTCCCCTCCCTGAAACAAAAGGATGACGTACAGATGGCCACTAGTGGCTTGGACTATTGTCAAGACTAGAAGCAGCATCACCAAACACTAAAGATGTGTAGATTTTACTAAGACACACCTCCAAAACAAAATTTGAAACAAATCTCTTAAGAAATGTGGCAGGTGTGGGGCATAAAAGACACATGACCTTTGACCCTATAAAGGATGGAATAATGAGGGGTGGCAGCATCACCAAAAAGTAAAGATGTACTGTGATTACTGACGGGGCTACCCTGATTAAATAAAACAGAATAAAATAAATAAATAAATAAATCTTGTTTTATATTACATATTGTGATAATTTTTTGATATGTGTATTTCCCGTTATGTGAAATTATGAGGAAGGAAATAAAATATCATTTAAAACAAAAAAATAGAATGTACCATGTTACATCTCTAATATTCTCTACACAAAATTTGTCACCACCAAGAGTACAAAGCTTGCTTTACCTGTAGTTTCTCCTCTGCTGACTGGACCTCTTCATGAGATGGTGAGTCCTGGCTTCGTCTGGTCCAGACTGGATCCTCGCTAACGGATGCTTCCGAAGGAACAGGCCTATGATGGAGTACGGACTTGACTCTGCTAGGCCTGGTCTCATGAGGCATGGACGACTCCGTTATCGAGTAGTCTTGGATGATGGTGCAAGTGGATCCTTCATTCGTCTGCTTCGGTTTGGAACTGAGCTGGGTGATGATTTTCTGCCTTAGTGGAGGACTATTCTGCGGGGACAGTCCTGTGCTGTTATTTGCAGTCCGGTTGTGTGTCTGGCGGGGCGTGTCTAGTACTGGGAAAGTCCCTACTTTCTTAGCAACTTGGGATGGTGTTATGCGTATGTGCGCAATCTGATCATTTGATCTGTGCTGTGATACCAAGGGTAGAGTGACCTCAGAGTGTGATTTGTCTTGGGTCTGTACAATGTTCAGTCTGTTGCTACCTAAAGGAAACGTAGCAGAAGCCTGGTTACTGTAATTCTGTGACAATTGAGTCTTCGGATTTGGCATGTTTAGAGTGAACGGTGGCAAATCATTCTTCCTGCTGCTGCCAACTTTGAAATTGGCTTCCGACGTCTGCGTTGACTGGTTATTGCTGTTTGGATCAAACACTAGAGAGGTTTCATCCATTGTTTGAGGAATAAGATTCTTGAAAAAGTATTCTCTCTGAGCAAAGTTGTGTGCTTTGACAGCCTCAGTGGGTGACTTTGGCTGTAAACTGTCAATGTTACGGCAAGTGCTACCAATAGGCAGAGTCATTTTTGTATGGATGGAGCTGCTGCTGCTGTAGCTCTCTGGCAAGTGACTTTCCGTTGGCTGAAAGGTATCCCCGATCATCTCTGCATGTGATCGGGATGATGCTTTCGGGAGTGTGTGTGCTTCAATGCTGGCGTGCGCTATGTGCTTACCCTGTGAAATGTCTGCATGAAAGCTCTTGCCTTTCTTGGTGCGTCTTGGACGCGGGGGTGAAGCACCACTGCTGGAAGAGCTGTGTGACACATCTCCATCCCGGTTTGACAAGTCCGAATCGGCTCCATTACTTGGAGTACTGTTCACTGAACTCATGCTGTCTGTGCCTGCATCTTTCTGTCGCAGCGCCTTCAAGGATAGCTGGAAGGCAGGGTTAGAAAAAGACAACGGCAGCGTGCGCGTATTCTGTCCATTGTCACCATTCTTTGGTTTGCTTGTGTCGTTAGTACTGACAGTTGTACCTACATTTGTATTACTACATACAGTTTCTATATGCACTGTGTAGACTTGGCTCTTTTCTTTTGTCTCTTTTTGAGTTCTTCCATTCCCACTCTCTTCTACAATCTGCAAAGACTGCATCTGAGAACCACTTCGTGTTTGTTCGTCATCTACCTTCAAATCTCTGTTCACTTCGATCTCCGACTGCGTCACCACCATTTCGGGCTGTCTGCCGTTCCTTGCATTCATCACTCTGCTGTTCAGTTTGGAGATCAACGTTGCAGGGCCACTGTCATGCTGGATGAAGTCCACAAGGCTGTTGATGGTTGACGACTTTGTGATCGTCTTGTCCATGGCGACCTCGTACGGAGGCAGCATCTCAACGTCACCTGCCGTTGAGGGTTCCGCATCTTCAAATATCTTACTCAGATTCTTCTTAGCCTGTGTAGCAGCTGCTGATGATGTGGACGATGAGGAGGTGGTGCTGGTGGTGGTCGTTGATGTTGTACTGGTCACCGTGTTGTCAATCTCGACATGAGTTGACTGATAGGGGATGAACTTTTCAGGTTCACTGAGTTGGTCAGAAATCTTGGCCAAGATGCTTGGTAGAGGACTCAGCTCATCGTTGCTTGGCTGTCAAGAGAATCCAAACATAATAATTTGCTTTAAAAAAAAGAAACTTTTTCCTATCTTCTCATGCTATCAGCCACTTTATAAGGAATATATGTTACTCTTACGGTCTTACCTCATTAATAGAAACAGAACAAGGGAAACGCTCTCGGCGGTCTCGCCTGCATAACGCAATTCAATATGATAAACCAGAACGTCAATGACGAAGCGCTCATCCGCATCTTGCAACAACAAATATCGTAAATTTGATGTGGTACACTTCTGAACTGGTCAAAAAATAAAAATTTGATGCCCAGGAAGGGACATACCGGTAATTTCATTTCATTTGCATAAAGTACCATAAATAATTAATGGAGCAAAATCTCACAATTCTGTGTAGAAGTTTAGTGTTCCAAATTTAGCTCTACAAGATGAGGCAAACCAAATCAAAATCGGTCAAGAAATGAGGGAAAAGAAGCAATTTTTGTTATTTTTGGAATAAATTTGCATAAATTACCATAATTAATTAATAGAGAACAATTTCGAAATTCTGTGTAGAAGTTTAGTGAACCAAAGTTAGCTCTACGATATAAAGCAAACCAAATCAAAATCGGTCGAGAAATGAAGGAGAAGAAGCCTTTTTTGTGATTTCGAAGTCTAAGTTTGTTGACCTTAAATGACCTTTGACCTTAACTTAGTGACCTGAAATTCTACTCACATGATTGGGGAGACTTGATAACCCTATAGTCCAAGTTTCATTGACTAAGAACTTATACTTTCAAAATTATATCAAAAATTCAAAAACTTAACCTTAGGTTAAGTTTTTGATGATGATGCTACAACATAGTCCAAGTCTGTTGACCTGAAATGACCTTTGACCTTGACTTTGTGATCTGAAATTCTACTCACATGATTGGGGATACTTGATTACCCTATAATCAAAGTTTCATTGACTAAGACCTTATACTTTAAAAATTATATCAAAAATTCAAAAACCTAACCTTAGGTTAAGTTTTTGATGTTGACGCCGCCGCCGCCGCCGTCGCCGTCACCGGATAAGCGGCGCCTATGTCTCGCTTTTTGCTACGCAGGCGAGACAAAAATGAGATGGACAGGTCATGAAAGTTTGAGTAAAATCTTATTAAAATACAGGAAAATAATGAATTTGAAATTGTCTGCAGTGAAACACAAATTGACAGTAATATAATAGTATATATAGTAGTTCTTCATTCATCTATGGTCGAATTCTCACCTTTTTAATATTCTCCAGGGCCTCGCTCAGCAACGAATGGGTTAAGGCAAGCTCTCGACCTAGATCAATGTACCCACTGAACTTGACAGCATGGCTCTTATCTGTGGCACTCTGCAAGAAAAAAATATTTCATAATAATAATGATTTTGTGTTGAGTTGGAGGAGCTAGTTCACATCAGCGTAAAAGAGGAATGAATTCCATGAGAATTGCTTTTCAGAACAAACTATTTGATCACCTTTCATTTGTATGTCATAATGCCTTTACCGGCATAGCCACAAGAGTGACTGTTTCAGTTACTCCACAAAAATGACCCCCCCCCCCCCCCATTCCAATACAAAATCATGGGGAAATAAGGGAGGGGGAAGAAAGCCAAAGGGCAAAAAATGAAAAATTAATAATGTATAGCGATTAAACACATGATGATATAAAGTTCCTAAAGACTCCCCATGTGCTTCCAAAGAGCTTTGGAAATTATTACCCTAGCTTCAGCTCCGGCAGCCATTATTAACGCACAATGCATTTCAAGGTACCCATTTACCTCACATGGGTTGAGTGTGGCAAATGTATATTGAAGCTTATCTGCCATAGTTTACAGGAGGGATTAGACCGCCCTGCAAGGTCACTGGACAGGTGGTTATCTCATTAACTCAGCTCTCAGTTAACATAAGAAAAAGAGGATCATGGGGGACCAATGGTCACCGATTAGGCATCGTTTGTTATATAGAGGGAGCAAGTAGCTACAAGTAGTGCAGTGGGCCTTTAAAGGCTTGTTTAAGGACGTTAATGTTGTGGCAGGGCTTCGAACCTCGTACCTTGTGGTTCACAGTCCGGAGACTAATCCATTGGACCACAACACCTCTACATACACCTCTACATACACCTCTACATACACCCCTACTTACACGGAAATGCTGTCAATCGTGGACCAAGTTTAGTACTTGTGTGTGTGTGCGTAGGTAATCACCAGCAACCGCGGACCACTCCATAGAAAACTACATCAAACCGCGGACGTACCTCCTATGGGATGATCCAGGTAGCGAGCGCCTCTCCCGCGCAGTCAAAAGGGGGCGCTGTGACATTTCACGATACACATCTGACTGATCCAGTCGATGCTGCCTACACGCTGTGACATCTAATATTCAAACGCCCCCTACGTCGTAAATTTGATACGGCCGAACAGGTATCGCAACCGTGGACGGTCCCCCATTGCAGGTATGTCCGCGGTTTGAGGTAGTTTTCTATGGAGTGGTCCGCGGTTGCTGGCGTTTTCCTACGCACCCCTACATGTTCCTAAAGCCCTTCTGGCTCTCAACAGATCAAATGCTTTAATACAATGAAGAACTGGGTAAATATCATGCACTTACAACCTTCTGGCTCACACTTGACATGCTGATGTAGATAGGATTCCAGAAGGACATGGACATGATGAGAGAGTTTGGCAAGAGGAAGTCCTGGCAAACTTCAAGTTGACAAATTGGAAGATTAATCCCCACAGGAGTAGATGGAAACAAAATAATGTGCCTCACTTCCAGTTTGACCAGATTTAGACACTGGATGCTAAGACGCCGTCGGAAACAGTTACTTCTTAACGTTTTGATTCAAAACGAATCACATGAGATTTCTACTAGCAATGAGTACAAAGATCATATAAAGAGGAAATGTAGAAGAAGCCCAGTTATGCTTCATGGATTCCGAACTGTCATATCAGGATAAATCAGGAGAAATACACCACTTTATGCTCGATATTCCCTGATTGATGGGGGGGGGGGGATACTGGTTTATAAGAATTTGTTTAATATTCCTTGTTGTTTTTCAGATCCAAATATCTAATGCCTGACTAAACTAGAACCCCTTATGATCACAAAAATCAAAATGTGACTTGCAGTTCTGCAGCTCAAAATCTCTGCAAAAAAGTGTCGTAATTCAGAAGCAAGCTCTAAAATCCTTTCATCCGTACTGCAATTGGAAGCGCTTGCTCGTATAAGCTCTGAAAAGCCGAGGGCTGATCCTACGGCATGGATTGAACTTTTTTCTTCCTCCTCTCTCATCCGTGGATCAAGTTCTCTCCTGTCAGGGAAGAGTCTAAAATGATTGTTAAATTGGCAACTCGGAAGCTGACTTGAATCCCACAAAATCATGTGAGATACTAGGGCTTAATCTATAAATCCATAAGCGAAATTTAATATACAATCTACAGTATTTGTAAAGGTACTGCTGAGTTCTTAGCCAAGTTTGATGACGTAAGACTAGTGATGAGACCAAGTTCAAAATTTTTACTTTGTTTCTCTTTTGAAGAAATTGTTGCAACTCTTTTCCAATATGATTGAAGCTCTAATGTCAGGTATGCTTGATGCCTATTTTTGGGGTAATAACAACAAATGTTAAAACTTCAAAACGGTTCCATTTTCCTCTATTTAAGAAACTTTTGTGATTCTGTCCAAGATGCAAGAGGGTTCTTCACTTTGACAGTCAGGTGTGATACATGTACACAAATTGTTTTAAACAAAATATGATGAAAGCCCAACAAGTCAGGTCCCAACAGGGAGAAGAAGAAATATGAATTATTCACAATATATATGCAGCTCTGTTCAAATGCTATCAAGCTGATAGTGGCTTTCTATTGTCTGAATGATCAGGTCATTGTGTTTCACCTAGATCTCTTCCGAAGAAACTGCTATAATCCTGTCCAAGACATAAGAAATTCTTTCTCCTCGACAGTCAGATATGATACCTGCTTTTAATAGACAAATGACTTCAACACCAACTCAAAGAAAAACCAAATGCCTGAGTCATTCACGATCTCCCTGCTGCTCTGCTTAAATGCTTCCAAGTCAAGAGCGGCTTCAACTCTTCTGACTGATCAAGCCATCGAGTCTCAGCTACATGGAAATCTTGCTTGTTTAGCAGTAAGCATGTCACATCTTTTATCAGCTTTGTTCTGTATGTATTTTCAAGCGCTACAAGATCGGATTACGCCGCTTGGTGAAAGGAACGAAAGATTCTTTTTGACAACCTGACAGAAGATTTGGACCTCAACCAGCTAGAACTTAGAAGGTCACATTAGTTCTTTTACTCCTTTTCATTTTGTAACTCGATTGAGGTAACGAAATGAGAAAAGTGATTTAGTAGGCTATGACTCGTGACATGCGAGGGGGCACGTGTTTGACGTGCCTCCAACGACATCTATGAGTCAAGGCGTTAAAGTTAATAGACTTTACCAGACTGCATGGGTATCTGGAACATGGCACAGATTACAAGTCACCATGAGAGTCAAAAAAGCAATAATACTACATCTAATTAGCAGAGCTTAAATGCCCTTCTGGCTATCTGGACAATAACCATGTTTCTTTATATCAGTTTCATATCAAATCAAATAGAAATATGATATTATGGAAAAGAGTCCAAGGGCAACTTGTACATCAAGATCTTTTCAGTTCATCAAGGGGTATGAGAGAGAAAAATAATTGTCAACATTAAAAAAAAATATATATATATATATATATATATATATATATATATATATATATATATAAGGTATTATTATAAGATCCACAGTCAAACTCCTCAGGGGAAACTAGAAAAATCAGATATTTCCAACACTTCGTCTTAATATTTGTTTTTAATACACAATTGTCCAAAACAAGAGATAGATGAAGAGAAAGCAGTCTCTATAGATAAAACTATTTGCTACAGCAAGTTTGAAATGTAATGTGCACTAGCCTTTGCTCTCTATCTAATTACATCACGAATGTTCCTTCAAAAAGGATTGAAAGATTTTCTAAAGTCATCATAGCTGCTTGCTGTTTGTATGTCTAAGTATGACTACACAATTCAATCATTACCCATTTGAATGCGTAACATAGTTTTTTTTTTTTTTTTTTTTGGGGGGGGGGGGGGGTGAATTTTTATCTCTAAATCAGTTTGTTTGATTTTTAATCCATGATGGCTGTCTGCCATTCTGAGTATGACTTTATGCTTATGACATGAAGCTAGGTGACTCACACATCCAACAAGGTCTCTATCATGTGTGAGCTAGGCTTCCCCTTCCCTTTATATCAACACAAGTATTCCATGGCCTTGAAATAAATAACGACTAACTATATAACCAAGTTAAGACTTCCTAAGTCTCAGAAACCTGTTGACAACAGTGCCTATGTGAACTTTAAAGAAGAGGTATGACTGAAAAAGAAAGTGAAAATGAAGCATACGTCCATTTGGAGCTAGAAGGGGCAATAAGTCTAAACATTTTACACAGATCTTATGCCCTTCTGGCTCTAAAAAGACGACATATTCAAAGGGCAGATAGAAAGGAATTGTATCAAAGAAAAAGACGAGACGAGTACAGAGATAAGAAGGAAAATGAGAGACACCCAAAGAGATTAAACAGACAAATGTTGATGAGATAGATATCATTTAGAAATAACCAGGACCATATATGAGAAAACAGCTTTAAATCCCACCCACTATGTTTCATCTCTAAAATACATCAACACCCTAGATCATAGTTATCAGTCTTGGAACATGAGCACAATCCAATCGAGTAACAACTGTTGACATTCTTTGGCAACACAGTCAAATTTTCTAACATTTAAAAAATCTAATTAAGGACATGTTTTATGTAACCCATAACATCTCACTGCCAAAGAAGAATAAGGTGCTCTCAGGGGTTTCGGATGTCTCTTCAATCAATAAAAACATCACCTAGCTAACACTCACTCAGATACATCAAGTTCCCTTACAATGGCCCAAACAGCCGGATCATTAAAGAACAAGAACTATTACCACTATAGATGCATTAATTTTCTCTATATGTCTCAAATCTAAATGATTTCTTGACATTTCTTATTACAACAATGGAGCAAAAAAGAACAAAACCCTGACCTCAAAAGAAATTATGCTGGACTTCTCATATGTGCCCATTGTCATTCTAATCAACAACTAATGTAACTCACCGTGATAGATACATCAAGTTTGGCCTGGACCTCCCAAATCTGATAGATCTCTTCATAATCATGAAGTCTAAGACCACCATACTTAGACCAGGACCTCTTCATGTTGCACAAATGAAGACCAGCCAATCTCTACAGAACTGCTTGCATCAAACTCAAAGACAGCAACTAACGTCACTTTTCCTTTATTCCGCAGGACTAGTAAGACTAGTCACATTTACTTGGCAGGCAGGGGGCATCCTTTCAAAAGGAAGTTGTGAGAGAACATCACACGGCGGCGGAGAAAGAAGTCATCTCCCAACGATGATGACTGCTGAAGATTCCCAATGATAAATGTTGCGCTTGTTTGGTATTCCCTTGACACACCTGACTAATAATTCCTTGCATACCTAATCTAATTATGACCCACTTCCACACTGAAATCAAATATTTGACATTCCCCAGTGGAATTCACAAAACCTTGTAAAAATGCCAACAGTATCTGCAGGTGGCCTTACCTGCCTGAAAATGTCAGGTCATCTTTATAAATATTTTCTTTGTATGCCAAATTTTGGATGCGTGTCACATGTATAACAGAAGGGGGAAGAACTAATAAATCTCCAATTATTTCCCAATTATTGGCATCTAAAAAAGAATATCTATGATGGTGACAACCTTAGCTCAGCATGCCTTTAAAGTATCACTTAATATAGATTACCTGATGAGCCGGATTATGAGTTATAATGGCCTTAAATGAGAAGTCCGCCCTAATATTAAATTGGTTTTATACGTCAGCTACGTCAGTGTTGCTAATTAATTGATGTTAAATTGATGACAACTTCCAAATTTCATAACTGTCCTATTTTTAATCGGATATTGCTCAAACTTTCACTAATATTTTTCTCTCATTTTTCTGCTTTTATCAAAACCAAATTAATATCAGGGTGGATGGACTTCCCCTTTAAAACAACTGAACCTGGAACTCAAGAAACGTCCATTAATTGTTGAGGACAGGCATTTTTACACAGTCATTTTCTCCCCGGATTGCATAAATTCAGTGTTATGATACCCTCATTAAACAGCATAATAATTTTGCAAATCAGGACCATTCACAAAATTCATTAAAGATTCTCTTGTTTTCCAGCACATTTTTCTTGACTTCCTTGAAAATCTATGATTACCGGTACATGAAAATGATTGTCTGCTGTCTCTCTAGACTACGGTTATACAAACAATAGCCTTTTCTTTCCTTCTCATTAGCTAAAATAAATTGTGTTGACATGTTAACTAATTTCTTTCTGCAATAAGAATTAAAAGTTCTGTTCTTTGGAAGTAACAATCCCCCGCTAGCTCTCCAAGACAAACTCCTTTATCCTACATTTGCAATGAGGAAATGATTTTGAAATTTGTTATTTCTTTGCGTGACAGTCTAAACACATTCTTTTGCTATAGTTATCACAAGAGCCAGGGGGCTGTGCGATCCCACTCCCTGATAAGGTTGACGTCACTAGAGCACGTTTGAAGGCTTAGTGAATCATTCTTATTTGTTTTATGAAGTCTGAAAATAAATACAAACCACTTTCACTGAACTCATTGAATACAAGAAATGTGAAATGATTTTTTTTGGAGTGCAATATCTTTCAAAGCCTTAATTGAATGAGTGTCATGATTCAGATTTATTCAGCTGTCTGCAAGGCCTTGACACAGGATTAAATCTTAAGATTCTCAAGCAATAATCATTAATCTTTTAATCTATAAGGGGAATATATCTATACAAAGATATATCCAAATAAGGCAAGAATATATGAGATGACTAAAAATGTAATGTGTATAGATAAGGAAGGAAAAAGAAGATGATTAAAGGGGGGGGGGGGGGAGGGGGTGAAAGAATATTTGTAGAATTAAAAAAATAGAGGACATAGGATATAATGATGTAGAATGATGGACATACACTGTATCAATAATGTAGGATAGAAAGAGAGAGAGAGAGAGAGCGAGAGAGGGGGGAGCGGAGAGAGAGAGAGAGAGAGAGAGAGAGAGAGAGAGAGAGAGAGAAAGAGGAAGAGGTGTGTGTTTTGTGTGGCATTAAGATAATATAAAAAAACAGAGTTAGAGAGAGAGTGATCAAGACAACACAGAGAGTCCAAGATAAATACATAGAGAGAGAGAGAGAGACATAGAGAGAGAGAGAAAGAGAGAGAGAGAAATGGGGGATAAAGTGTCCAAAAAAATCATTTAACGATAATAAAGAGGGACAATTGGGATAAACAACAACACTCTAGCATATTGAAAGTCTATTATGAAACGGAATCCCAGACGGATAACGTCTACTGACCAACCCTTAGTGATCGACAGCTGACCAGAGAGCTAGGCTGACAAAGGATGATAGATATCTCTCAACTGTCCGCTGATGACCAAAGACAGACAAAGGGTTCTTGACGTTTCAAATAAGAGGTGACTGACACCATTAAGAAGAAAACTGTTGTTATAAAACAGTTGACTTGGTGTCTGTGATTGCGTAATTGTGGTAAAATTAATTAGGTTAAATTTCTTGGCACACTTCAAAATCATGGTTTAACCTTTAAGCTTCATCATCTTTCTATTATCCCTTTACAGCATCGCGCATTGTGTCACTAACAGGAAAAACTGTGGAGGTAGTGAAAAATAGAGCCTTAACAATGTCCAATCTTCTACAGTGTTATCACCAGAAGGTTTAAAACAGTCATTCAAACTGCATTTCGGGAAGAATGATCCAAACACCATTCTTCCAAATGAAACAAGTAAATTCTCATGAATATCCATGACAGAGGAAGAGTTGGCTTTTACTTTAAGGCCTAAAAAAAGATGTTGTATTGCCCTTTGCGACCGACCACAAAATCTTGAAATCTACAGTTGGCTTTTTTTTACCGTTTCTTAGAGAAAAAAATATCAAAGCATTAAAAACTGAGAGATATCAGCCCAAAGAGGGGGGAAAAAAGTTTGAAAAAGCAAAAAAAAAAGAAGATTTCTGACCGACCGACCGACCCATGTTTTGGCACCTAAAGGGCAATACAACATCCTTTTTTTTTTTTTACTATAATATTGATTGATTCAGAAATTCAAATAAGTTGGTAGAAGCATCAGTCACATGATAGTATGACAAACTGAATGAGTCTCACCAACATCTTTCTGGTTAGACAAACAATCAAGGGAAACTCATTTAAAATCTCAAATTCAGCATAAGTCTAAGTTTGTGGACATCGCATTGAAACACACTTTGTAAAGTTACCAGTGTTTCTATGAGAGGTCCCATTGAGCTTAGTGTAAAGACTTGTTCAGATATCATGCAGTAAAATCGCTGCAAAATTTAGAAGCCACAGCTTTTTACAGTGTAAATGAACGAGTACTGCGCCCAACGAGTTCACTGATCTCTGTGTTATAGATACAATAAACGTGTTGCATATTACAGTTTATGTCATCATTAAAAAAAAACAGCTGCAGTTTTTACGCATCATAGCAGAACAAAGCCTTATGCCTTATATCCCTATGGATGCAAAGGTTGTGGGTTCAATCCCCAACACAGCACTAATGTCCTTTGGCAAGGCATTAATCTGTATTTGCCACTCCATACCCAGGAGAGAAATGAGGACTTGGTAGAATGACGAGAGCCTCCGTGTTAGTAATTACCATATGCTATCACGGTGACCATATAATAGGAATACTCCCCAGAGAGTGGAGATGGTGCACATTGTGCATAAACAAATCTGATGACCGGGGTAATGATATCTGTAAAGCGCTTAGAGACGGAATTTTGTATTAAGCGCTATATATATATTCAGATTATAATTATTATCGTTTTTATCATTTTTATTTGTGAGACTTGCCCCTGGCTATTCAGACTTGGTAAGCTGAAATGAAAATCATTAAATTATTTCATGTCAGTAGATGTCATCACAAAAGCCAAGCCACACAAATCTTGAAAGGACAAAACTGAGAAAAAGATTTAAGAAAGACGATAAAAGATGATCTTACCGATATTTCTTGAAGAAAGACCTTCATGTTACCCCACTCTCGTTCTAAGAACTCGTTCATGAATTTCATGTAGTTCTCCTTCGTTCCAAACCTTCAAATGGAAAACACAGTAGAAACAGTTAGCACAATCAACTACAAGCATATCCTAAAAATTGTGTGTTTCTACCTGCATGTTATGTTTATACATACTAGACAGAAAATGTTTGCAATCACAACAGAAATTTTACTTTGCACTGAAAGTGGCTGCTAATAAATATCTGTGACTTTATATTGATAAAAAAAGGTATTTTGTTTTAAGCTTTAAACATGATAAACTTCCAGAATATTAAATTCATAAGTGAAAGACTACCGGTACAAGATGATAAACTGATAGGCAATATCTAAAAGGATAACACATTACTTAATTCGGCATAAGTAAATTCCGGAAAAAATATTGCAGCCCAAACAACCTAAACTTCTGGGAAAAAAAGAAATCTGTCAGGAAAATGAGCTTCAGGGTACAAATGGAGGATGACATAAAACAACATCTGTGATAAAATGCCTCATGAGAGAACCACATCTGATCTAATGTTGCTATTTTAAAGCTCTTACTACTTCACATTTAAAGGTATAGACCAGTTTTGGAAACGCCCCCTCTCAAAAAAAGAAATGGAAGCTCTTATTACCAATCATATGAAAGAATATGTTTTGACTTCTTATACGTGATACAAATTTTGCCGGGAAACCGCCTACTAATTGATATATTTGGTAGTCCCATATACATCTTTCTGTGTACAGTGCTTGTAACTTTACCAAGACTTGGCCAAATTTCTTATCATTTTGATGATTCCAGAACCTTGCAGTACACACCAATACTTATATGCTAGATGATCAACCTTTTCTGATCGATTCCACAACGTTTCTTTCACAATGCAATCGCATGAACAGAACTGGTCTATACCTTTCAAAAAAAAAGTTTGATCTGATGGTAGAACTTACTTGGTGAAGTTGGCAAGGGCTTGAACGGTCTTTGCGATGAGAGTTAGACACCTTGACGTCTTCTCGTTGGGATACTCCTGGATGAGCTCAAAGAGACTGGGTGACATGATGGCCGGACATAGGAACCTCAGAAATATACAACCACTGCAGGCAACGAGATAATGTTTTACATGTTACGTCTAGGTATGGAGTTTCTCAGCATTGGGAAAAGCGAATATGAAGCTAAAAATCCTTTGATTTACGCATTTCATCTGTTTGGTGCCTTAAGGATGTTAACTCTGTATAATATGATATAAGTTAACCCCCTTTTGGCTCCAAATGATTCATTTGCAGTTATTCTGAAAATTTTACCATGAGTGCAGGTGGAGCATTTTACTTTGTGCCACATGGAAATCACTTAAACAAATCAAACCAATTAAAATATCAAGAAATATTTGCCAAATACAAGTCAAAGAGACAAGCCAATTAAACAAATCAAATCAAATCAAATCAAAATATCAAAAATTATTTGCCCAATAAAAGTTTTTTCTAGAGAATTATGCAATGAAATAACACAATGTATAAGGTGAGTCATTCAACCCCTCCCCCTTTAAAAAAAAAGAGAAGAAAATCTAATTCTGTGAACTTTATTTTGTTTAAAATTACAAAAACTAAAAATCTGATCAAATCAGTGATTAGAGATAAAGTTAAAGTCACAATTAGGGTAGATCAGAGGTAGATCTTGGACTATGGTAGATAAAGGTTGCCTCTTGAAATAATTTATAAACCTCAACTCAACCTTCACACCTGGCAACACCCAAACCAAATCTAAACAGCTGTTCTCACCTGATAAGCTTAGAGCACACCTCGTCCCCGTTGATGCGCTCTGTGAAGCGCTCTCTAAGCTGGTGGAAGATGGCTCGGAGGTCAGACGGGAAGGCAGCTGAGGAGTTGAGTATCTTGCAGCAGGCCATCTCACACATAACCATCAATGACTCTTGATGCTGTACCACCGTTCCAGTTAGCACCTTGGTAGGGTCCACCTCACAGTCCTCGTTGGTCATATAAAGGTACTGGACGAAGTCACCCAGGGTGTCTTGCAGGTACTGAGGATACAAAGGCAAACAATATACCATGCAACGGTTTGGGTGAGTTGCAAGTACATGTATCGGTCATTGACAAAGAATGGATAAACCAAGTGACATCATACCTAGGCTACAGCCGATCACATTTTACAAGTCTGAAAATTCATTGTGCTTCATTATACATGTTTTTACGGTTGAATCTAACGATCAACTGATAGCTTTTTTGTTCATTTATTTGAGATTTGTAATTAAAATTACGTCTTTAAATGGTAAATTAATGTTTAAAAAATGTTGCTGAAGATACCAAGTGTCTTTTGCAATTCAGAGAATACTAAACATCTAGTAATGACATCCTCAATTACCTTCCCTCCAATGAGCTTCATGTATGCCTCCATAGACTTCGTTGCCATGGTATTTGCCCGAAAGACCAAACTTTCATCTTCTGCAAAAGTAAAGAAACAAAAGGAATACAATACAATTCTTGTATTTATATACAACTTTTATATTAATCACCAATAGTTTCAGCGTGTGAGACATTCAAAGAAAGAATATTTCATATATATTTTCTGGTGGAAGCCTAAACAAGTACACAATATAAAAGTATACAAGTATAATTTTACTTCTAGGATTAAAAAAAATAGTGATATACACTTCATTAGACATATAAGACCATATATACAAATATATAAGTATATGTATAAAAAATGTAATGCAGAATAAATTATATAGCAGGGCATCCAATCTACTGTCAAAAATACTCTCCCTACAGTCAGCTACAGAGGGAGTAATTGAAAACATTAGCTAGTGTAAGATTGACTTTATATCCATGACTCTGAATGACTGGAGCTTTGACCAAAAACACACTGATGTGATTTGTACTTGAAGTAGGCCTATCGACTATATATATGACTGGAATTGAATGTTAGGTAAAGAAATCACAATAAGAATAGGGATAGGGCAAAGAAAATAACAGAGAAAAGTAAGGACAGAGAGAGTTAAAAAAATAAGAGTTCTGTGAAACAGGAAATAGATGGAAGAACTAGGGAGAGGAAAAGATTGGGAGAAGGCACAAGTATATTTACATCAAAAAGGAGAAAAGAGAGGAAGAGAGGGGAGGGGGGGGGGGGGGGGAGAGAGAAAAAGGAAGGCAACCTCCAATACTCTACAAACGAGGAATGTTACTAAGCCAGAGTGCACTGGCTTAACCCGTCTAGTTCAGAGAGTTCAGAGAGTTCAACCCAAATAAGAGAGAGAGAGAGAGAGAGAGAGAGAGAGAGAGAGGAAGGCGAGCTGAAATAATCCACAAGCAAATAGGCTATATTACTGAGCCAGACTGCTTATAATTACATCTAACATCTCCATGTAACAGGCTTAGTTTAAAAGTTCACCCCAAAAGAGAGAGAGAGAGGTGAAGGAGAAGGCCAACGTGCCTCCAAAACAAAACAATGCCGTCATCACCTCTCAATTCACTGTGTTAAGTGGAGTGGCACTACAACAGGCACCTCATAGTCTGCCCCAACCAAAAGCTAATTTCCTCTCGAGTCGTTAAATCTTCTTCTCTATCTCTTTACTCCCTGGTGGCTTTGGCTATCACAGGATACACAAGCTCATAGTTACGGTGAAGTGCTTTATCTCCTCCGAAAAGTGGACATGGCTACATTTTTTAATGTTGTAAATGAGGTCCATGTTCACAAATTGAATGTGAAGGCTTGATTCTTTTCATTTTATCACACAATCAGGCATGAAACTTTTCAATGGGAAAGAATTGTATGATGCAAATCAGTGTTTCTGATTCAGGCAGAAATTTAAAACTGTTCTGAAAGTCTTTGTCATAATTTCCCTTCCTACCGATAGGACAAAAAATAAGAGGCAAAAAAACGAAGAAAGAATGTATGAAACAAATATCAAAGAAAGATATCTCCTTCCCTATTTAGCGTAAATACAGCTAGTGCATGCAACAGAATTGTTTTTTTGTACAGTGTTTATAATAATGATTAAAGGGTAAATCTAAGCTATTTTGTTCCTAGTTTTACCAAAGACATCTTGATTGCAGGTGACCTGTATCAGGTGACCTGTAATAGCCTTACTTCCATTACACCAAAAATGAAGTGGAATATCACTAATGATGTCAATTTAAGTTCAGAACTCCACACTGTTTGGTAAAGTATGGGACACTGCACAAACACATTGGAATGCCTATTAATCATGCAATTGTTGATAAAAGATGACCCTAAAATGTCAAATTTTGTTTACGAGTTTGAAAATTGACCCCACTTTCATTTATGTATGTCACAGGTGATTGCACATGTGTTTACATGGAGTTTTTGTTTTTGTTTTGTTTCCTGCCTTTCACCAAAGGGAAAATGGAAGTATAGCTCAGTGAATCTAATCACAATTCATCAACCCATATTCAGTTTGGGGAATGATGGGGAAAAGGACTAGTCTACAAGCAAAGACGCTATTTCGACATTGAGCACAATTTATAAAGACATACTTAAAGATAAACTCCAGTACTAGTAAAAAAAATAAAAATAATTCTCACAGAATCAAACGAAACTTACACTGAATGTTCAAGATTACAAATAAATGACATGTGCCAAACAATTTTGGAAGAAAATGTATACTGGCTGAGTAATGAGCATAGAAAGACTCGGAAATCAAGGTAGTACTAGCCCCGACACCATGTGTTGTCCCATATATAGCTTTCTATGTTAGTGCTTGTTACTTTACCAAGACTCGGTCAAATTTATTATGATTTTGATGACTCCAGAACCTTGCAGTGCACACCAATACTTACATGCTACATGATCAACTGTTTCTGATCCTTTGCACACCTTTTCTTTCACAATGCAATCGCATTACCAGTACTAAACTTTATCTTTAAAAGTCTGAAATTTCAAATAAATGTTTATGTTTATAGCTTGGATAATTATTTGGAATGTGTTATTTTTGGTAATTATATGAAAAGTCAATTCTAGTATATTGAACTTTCTGCATTTCAGTAAAAGCTGATGCAACCTTCCCCCTCTCTCTCTCTCTCTCTCTCTCTCTCTCTGTTTCTCTCTGTCCCACTGAACATAAATCCAAACCCCTTATCGTTTCTGTCCCCTAAGTCCCATATCATATAAATCCTTGTCCTTACTTATTCTGTCCAATTGTCCCACTTTATATAAATTCAAGTCTCTTACTAATGCTCTCTACAGTCCTATTACTCAAAAGTATTTTGAAAGTCCCATTGTATATAAATCTTTGTTGCTCATTACTGCTTTCCTTAGTCCCATCATATATAAATCCCTGTCCTTTACTTATCCTCTCCTGTAGTCCCACTGTATATCAATCCCTGTCACTTACTGATGCCTTCTGTTTCATTCATGACCATCTCTGTCATGAATTCCTTGGCTGATCCCAGGCAATGGAGGATCTTCATCAGCGAGGTCGCGACCTCTTCTTTCGCCTTGACATTGATGTCTCGCTCAAGCCTCTGGCATAGGGTCACTGAGTGTTCTTTCAAGTACTGTGAGAGGAGAAAGAGATAGAGATTTGTCAAGAATCTGGAAAGATGAATTTCTACCCAGAAAAGTAAGATTTGAATAGTTGGTGGATGAACAGGAAGAACTGTTTATGCCCTTTACAAACAATGAGTATGAATTACGAGCGAAAAGTTTCCAGTAACTTGTCAGAAGTAGGTAATATGAAGTCTAGCTTCCAGCTTTTCTTCCCTACTGCTATTCTGTCTCATCCACTCTCTCTCTCTCTCTTTCCCTCTTTCTCTTTTTGTTTCTTTTCTTCATCTGTATTCTCTCTTTCTTGTTCTCTCTCTCTCTGTCTCTATCTTGTATCATCATCCCTCTCTCTTCTCTTTTACCCTTTATTTCTTTTCTCAATTTTCTGTATCATCATCACTCTTTCTATCTCTCCCTCTTTCCTCTAATTGCTTTCCTATTCTTTCATTTCTTATGAATTTCTCTATCCCTCTCTCATTTAGTTGCTTATCTTCATCTCCCTTTATCACTTTCTTTATATCTTTAATCTTTACATTCTCTCCTTTTCCCCAATATACAGATCTTGATGAATATCTTTCTCTCCTACCGCCCCCTCCCCCCCCCCCCCCCCCCCCCCCCCCTCTCTCTCTCTCTCTCTCTCTCTCTGCCTGTCCAGCTCTGACTAACTTTCTATCCATATATCTCATCTTTCTCTCTTGTTTAACACAAGGGTGTGTTCGTGATGCCCGAACCTTGCCAAGTACAAACCCAGGTACACATAGTCGGAAACTGCGGTCACCAGAAAGCGGGGGTAGCTTGGCAAGATTTATGAGGAAGCTAGCGGACTGTTTGGGTAATTTGGAGCAGGAAGCCAGGCTCATAACTCTTGTCTCGTTTGACTGATTTCCTATGGAGTTGGCAGAGGGTTCTGCTGAGGTTTCCATGGGAGAGGACGAGTCGAGCTCTGATATCAAATGTCATGAAAATGTTGAACTACATGTGCCTGATAATGTATCATTAGCCGGAATCATCCATTATCTCTTTTTTATCCCTCAATCTTATCTCTCTTGCTGTGACAGTGCTCTTCAGAATCACTGATAAAGATCAATAACCTCAAATAAAGACAGCATGTACATAGTATAACTGGCCAAGATAGATGTTATACTTCAAGCTTAAGGTGATTTCAAGAATAATATATATGTTGTATAATTGAAACAAAATACTCTTAAATTTGGCTTGCTCAGATGTAATTTGAGTAAAAGTTAAGATATATGGCTTAGCCAAGTAAAATGCTAAGTAATATACTGACTTCATAATTTTGCAAACTGAATTGAAAACAGGGCCCGGTGTCTTCAGACAAGTGATTGGTGAAGTCTATGCAATAATGACAATGGGGGGGGGGGGGGGGGGGGGGCTGACTTTTGGGCTGGCTGGGGGAGGGGTAACCTTACCTGTGCTAATTCTGAGTACTGGTTGATAGGTAGAATGGAGATGTTTTGGTAGCGAGCTTTTATTCGTAACGAAGGGATCTCCCCCCTGAAGTTGGGGCCGGTCACACGATACCTGAAAACAAGAATATATAGAAAAGAATATCTTTCAAGGGTTCTTTATTAAATACTGAAAAAGCACATTGTAATTTTTTTTCTCACTTTTAGTGCTAATGTTCATAATGCTTCTGATACAAACTTTTTAAATACATTTAACTTCCTCTCTTTTTGTATCAATTCTTTAGCAATTATTATATCAATATTTCTATGATTTTTTTGGGTGGGGTTAAAATAAAATTGATAATTATAAACAAAGATGTGGTTAGATAAAGCTTCTGTTGCACTACAAGGGTTGTATCGTCTTGTATACATCTACACAGATTATCACTGAAGAAAAAAGGTGTCTATCTACCAGTAGTCAGTATATACAGAACAAGTACATTTATATCTTCTGTTTAGAGTCAAGAAGGACATTAGCTAGTATATAGTAACATAGAGTTAATGCCCCTCTGACTACGAACAGACAATATATTCTATTCAGACTCTTATGATTTTAATATACTTACCAACTTTCTACTGTTGTTTTACTATTAACCATGTTGACTGGTATTGAGACTAGCCCTGTAAGGGAAAAACACAATGGAAGAGAGAAAATTTGTAATATAAATGTACATTAATAACAGAATATAGATAAAAGTAATTTAATTGCAAGACAATTTAATTCACAAAATAAACAGCTTATTTCATTTGATTGGATTTGACAATCTGTTTGAAACTTATTAGGTACAGTGTGTAGATATCATCCATATCATGATCGGAATGTCTGATGCAAAAGTAACAGAATTCAAATCAGAGCGATACTGTTATTCTTCTAAACTATTTATTATGTCTTCCTTACCTATATAGTTCTTGTCTCTTCTCTTCTTCTTCTCTATCTCTTTATATACATGTACATTGATGGCCTCAACAGCTGGCAAGCATCTGTAATTCAAAGAGAAAGACAATGGAAAAAGGGAGCAACATTAGTGAATAAACAAACCTTTTAATATAACACTTTATCAAACAATTATTAATAAGTCAGGGCCTTATCTTATAAGGAGTTGATGAAAACTGATCCCAAGTCCTCAAATCAATCAGAAACAGACACAATCTCATGTTTGTCATGTACATGCATGTACAATGTTTCAGCTGATGTCACTTAGGCTGCATTTCTCTAACATAGGGGCCAGGTGTATGGGGTGGGGGCTGGGGTGGGGGTAGGGGGCTGGGGTGGGGGTAGGGGGGGGGGGCGGGGGAGGAGGCTAGGATTAGGGCACTGCCATCAACAAAGTGTTTGAGATGGGTTAATTAACGCCATGCATGAGCAAATAACTCAATATTGATCGATTTGGCAGTAACAATACCAAGACAAACTGACAGCAATATAGAATGTATCTTCCAAAGAATCATCCAAGTATAAATGCAAATATACATGTAGCAACCGAAGCAACCATTTCCTCTCTGTAACTATGGCAACAACATCCTAAAATTTAGCTACAGGAATCAAAATGCTTACTGAGCCATGAAAACAACATAATCACCTCACAAAAATGCATAAGCTCTGTTAAAATCCACAAGCATGAAATCTCTCATTCACAACACAAATTTTCCCTTGCTTAGCTCCCTAACAAAGAATGATACATTCATGTGATTTCCCTCTGATAAGACTCTTTCACGGAAACACAAATGACTAATGTATGGCAGCAGGACTTTTCAAACAAGTGTTGGCATTTTGCTGAAAAGTGAGAAAGCCTCGTCTACGCAGCCTTGATGAGGGATTAAAAATTTCGGCTGATGTGAAGGCCATACCACGCTTTTCTTTGAAGAATGACCTGTTCATTAATCTTATCATTTCTCTCAGAAGAAGCTCTTTATAGCATATATACATGTATTATGTCAACTCTACAAAGGGTGCTGACAAAATCAGTGATAATTTGATATACTTTTCAAATCTATTGGCTATTGTGATTAATTGGCGCAAAACATGTAGATTCATATTTGTAGTAAAATGTAATTTCATTTAGGATATGTTAATATCTGCATAATGCCATTCCACATTGGACAAGAGTGATTGGTTAAGTTATTTCAATTTTCTATTAGTATTAGACTCATGTCAGGAATCAAATCCAATCCATTTAAACTACATGAACAACACCATCACAATTATCAAACACCTTCTCCTCCTCCTCCTCCCCCTCTTCCTCCTCCTCCTGCTCCTCTTCCTCATCCTCCTTCTACAAACTAGCAATGCTACTACCAGGGTTTCAATGAGCCAAACTGAAGCTCCATGTTAGAGGGGGAGGAGGAGCGATGGATATTGATTTGAACTCCCTCATCTCTCAACGATACATGCATCAAGGAATGATGGAGTCCCTACACCTGAAAGTCTGGGTCTTAAGTGGGTGGGATGGACTAGACAATGATTGAGGGTCTTATTGGATCGAAACCATCAATGCGAAACAACCGTAGTCAGATGAGGACATGTACATGGAGGTGCGTGGTGCAGTCTCAGTGATGTATCTTCTGCACTACTCCGAAGATCAAGATTACATTAATGTTGATCTAAGGAGACATGAACGAATGAGTACTCCTTTACTATAGGGTGCAAAATTTGAATTCATTTTTTAATGAGGTATTTTATGGATCTATCATCAGATCAGGCAAACAGGTAGGCCTCAATTGTGAAAATGTATTAAAGTTTGCTTCTTACCTCAGCACTAATAACACTAAAAGAAGAGTGATGAGGGGTAAAGAGTGCACTTTTTAAAACTTTTATTGACCCTGCAATGAATCTTATCTGAATTACTGCAAACAGGTTTCATTGTTACTTTTGTTCTGCTAAGCAATTTTATCTGAAGACTTAATCTAAAGTTGCATACATAATTATACTTCTGATAATATCATAACATATAGGTCAACATGCATATATGGGATTTGGGAAGAAAATGAGAGGGGTCCACAGTTAGGTCCTCATGTAAATGAGCTCTCATACTGTCATGGGCCATCTTGTCAAGTTCACTTATTATGTTATTGTGCTCTATATCTCCCCCTGGTCTTTTATACCACTCTATTACACTTCTACATGTACATCTATTTGAACTTGACGAATGAAATCAAATCAAACTCCCTCCCCCTCCACCCCCCCCCCAATTGCTACCTACATTGAGCATCTAATGAATGACTGATACACTTTGCACCTGTAAATCTGTTCCCCCCTCTAGGGACCAAGACTCAGTCTATCAGATAATCCTCTCCAATAGCCCCGCCAGATATGAAACAAATACCCCATTCATACTGGATTTCAAATTTTGTGCCAGATTGAGGAGGGAAACTAACCCGGTCTTGCCTCAGTCTCACCACATTCACAGTGGGCAAGTTAACCCGCCGTCAACCCGTCTTAAAGTTTATCTGCTCGACATACAAAAATATGCTACAGGTAAATTAAATGATATGTATGCATAGAAAATAAATGTGTATTTTGTTAGGTCATACTTGATCATGAACATTTAAAAATGCAGTGTTATTAACATGTCAACCCTGGACGAGAACAGGACCCTTTACAAAGTTTTTGTTTGAAACAGTGCCCAAAGGTGTATTTCACTAAACACAAATTTTGCTAACATTTTTCTTTATATGATGGTCAGACTAGAACTTTGAAGAAAAGTTATTACTTATCATAATAGGATTCTCATGTAGTGATATGATGAAATATGGTGGTAGGAATGGGGGGTAAGTGACCAATAAGACATGATTAGCATACATGATTCTCCCCCTGACACTGCCCATCATGTGACGCTCACTCACACCGTTTAAAGGGGATGGGACTGTGAAGGGGAAACTTCAACTAGAAGCAATTAGGCAATTTAGGGGATGAGTTAAAGGTCTCTGCAGAACAATTTTGACTATTTCAAAGCTGTAGGACTAGTGCAAAGCATTACGGTAGGGTGGAGGAAATACATAATGTGAAAACAGGTTGCATAAGACAGGACAAAATTGGAAAAGTGTTTTAACATCACTTGCTTCACCAGGTGTAAATCACACCTTTTCATATGTATATAATTTATTCATTGAAAATAATGAACTGAAAAGGGTCTGGATCATCAACTAGAAAAGAAAATCATGTAAAAATAACCTAGCAAAGTGTTATCCTCAACCAACCAACAAGATATCACTAGTCACAATGTTTATGGTCGAGTATAAAGGGAGAGAAAGGGAAGGAGAGAGAGAGGGAGGGGAGAGAAAGAGAAAGAGAAAGAGAGAGAGAGAGAGAGAGAGAGGAAGAGAGAGGGAGAGGAAGAGAAAGGGAGAGAGAGGAAGAGAGGAAGAGAGGGAGAGAGAGGAAGAGAGGAAGAGAGGGAGAGAGAGAGAGAGAGAGAGAGAGAGAGGGGGGGGGGGGGTAGAGGGGGAGGTATAATGAAAACAATCATAGCAATGAGGGGGGGGGGCGCTTCATGATGGCTAAGGTCCTAACTACAGTACATAAGAAAAGACAGAGAAGATACATGTAGACAACCTGTTTGTAAGAACATCTTTTACAATGTAACTTGCAACAGGCAGAACCTGCTGCAAAATTGAAAATTGATATAATTAATGACGGTTGAAGATAATGGGCCCACCTTCATCTTGCTACAAAACAAGACAATTAGCCAGCTAAATGAGTAGCAATGCATGTTGGCTAGGCGGGGACGAGAGAGAATAGACTTCTATCATTTGCAGGAAATTGGAGCGTTATTCGAGAGTGGGTGTGTGCAAGATTGGGGGCGGAAGAGGGCGCATAATTGCCCTCCTTGTCCTCCGCCCTATACACCACAAGCATTCTCAGCGGTGCTGTGTTTGGGCTGGATACCGATAATCTGATATATTACTAATAATGATAAATATAATCATTCTTCTCATTACCATTACTCATATACTTAGTCATTTTTCAGAACTATACCTGGAGACATTTCTGTCATATGATGTGATGTACAAGTTATTTTTCTTTGATCAAATCAAGATGCAAAACATGACAAAAATCTTCATGAGCAAGAAAATTGAACTTCTGACATCTTGACATACCAAGTAATTGGTTGATTAAAACTCTGTGAGTATTGTTTTCTGTTTATGCTTGTAAATAGTTTAACTTCATGTTTTGTACATAAAGGACGTTCATTAAACTACATACGATAGAACATTCTCAAGGTATCATAAGTAAGATCTGAGAGCAAATATCCAAGAAAATTTCTTAGGTTTGCATGTTTATCAACAAAATTAAACTCATAAATATTTTTCATCTGTAAAAAAATAAAATTACCCTATCAGGATTCATCAAAATAAGACAATTGTGCTTGATTCAATAGAGCAGAAAAAAAGTCAGTATTACTGGTAACTCTAACCCTTGAAAGTTCATTTTTCATGATTACAGTTTATCAAGAGGTATTATAAACGCAGATATGTAATACTTGACAAACCTCTTGTCAAACTCTGCATGAAGCCTTGTGTACTTTGTACTTCGTGAACTCTAATTACTATCCAACTGAGAAATAATCATCAGACAGAGTTGACTGAACTTACTCAGAATCATCTCCCTAGCTCACATCAATTATCAAAGTCAATTAGATTTGGAGAGTTTCTAGAAATAGAAATGATTGTTTGTGAATATGATGAAGATTTGACAAGGCATCAATGAACTGTATGACATTTTCAGACCTTGGCACGCACAAAAATCAATGTAAAGAGCGAGGGACACTGATCTGATAACCAACAAAAACAAACATCTAGTAATGTATTTCTACGGACAAATGTGTACGCATTGTTGGCAATTAAAAACTCACTTAAGAAACAACAATAAAGAAATACAAGTGGCAAATTTATCACATCAATTAATGGCACTTTTTGCCTTTTAAAAGAATTTTTTCAAGAAGTTATGTCTTTGTATTTTTACACTTAACTCAATTACAGACTATTTTTCCCCCTAAACAAAAAATCTATTGCTATTTCAATACCCTTTTGTATACCGGTAACCCATAGAAATCATGTTTAGATTATATGTCTCTACAATCTTTGAACATTACAAAAGGTGATGGAAAATTAAGGCTACAAAAGTGTTTCTTCTCCAACTAAAACTATTTGATAATGTTTTAGGACATAAGTAACAGCACGAGCATCAGTTTTGCTTGATTTATCCCTTTAGATACAATCAGCATACCGGTAGTGGCTCTTGGCAATGAACAAAGGCAATTGAACGCTTAAATACTTGACGGTATTTTGACTGTCTTCAACGAGGGGCAGGCGATGGGTATAATCCAGAGTAATCCCTCTTGAAATCCGTCCCTAGCCCACTAAGCAGATTGTAGGAAGTAATCAATTGAGTGTCGGCTTCCTCACACTACAAAAACACACACATGCATGAGCCTCTCTCCCTCTCCTTCCCAGCTGAAATCTCTTCTTGTTTACATACTTTTTATGTTGTCTTACAATTTTGTCCTATTAATAATAAAATAATTGGGAATCTTGCTCGCTGGCACATTGCGACTTGTGGCGCTCCATTATTATTACCCCACTTTAGCATGGCTGCCATTACAGCTCTCTAGCATTTCAAGGAATTAATTCCTGCCGGGTACCCATTTACCCCACCTGGGTGGAGTGTGGCAAATGTAGATTAATGTCTTGCCAAAGGACATTAGTGCTGTGACGGGGAATTTGTACTCTGTACCTTGTGGTTCCCAGTCCACTGCACCGCAACACCTCTACTTATTATCATCACTACTTTCTTCTCATAAAAATACATATTTTATCGCTCCTCAATCAGTGGCCTGTGAGTTTTTGTCTACACTGCGAATCCCTTCAAACTTTCTTTTGTTTACAAAACTTGTTGATGTTGTCTTTCAACCCTTCTGAAGGCCATGGTGATGATATCAATTGATGTAGCTCTTCTCATATTTGATATTAATCAAAGTGACATGAATTTGCCACTATAGAATCCAGAATAAATAAAAGTCATATACTAAGGTTAAAAAATCCTCGGTCTTCAGTGAGGGGGTGGGGTGCCATATTATGCTAACAACCAATTTGGATTCAGAAGGAAATGAAAATTGATTGCGGTATCGGTGTTTTAACCTTAATTCAAACATTCTGTTAAACATCCCCCCTCCCCTCCCAAACAAACTGAGATAAAGTGCAAAGATGAGGATCATAGCCAAGAATGTGCAGCCCCATAGGAAACGCAACATCCACAGCGATAAGATCAATGTATGGATGCCAAGTGCAGGGATATATCTTTCTTAATTGCTGATGTAGATAAGATCAGTCCTCTTCATCCTGAAATTAGTTATGGATAAAATACAAACCAAAAACCAAAAACTCACCAAAACATGAAGAAAAAAAGTGGAACCTGAGCAAAAGTTCCTGGTACACCCAGAACCAAAAATCTTTCACTCTGTACCCCCCAACTGTCAAAATGTTAACACGAACTTGGTGAATACTAACCCCTAATATTTGCCAATTAAAGACCCCTAGGACAAAAAAAGTAAGAGTTGACCCTTGCTACATGTCTATAATTTAATGCCAGAAGAGTATATCACAGGTTGTAAGAAAAGGGATGGCAATTACGATTAGAGAAAATAGGATGGGAGCTTCAAGGAAATACCACCAAACACTATATTGGTTAAGCGAAGATATTTGATGACGTACACTGTAGACCAAAACAATTTACAGCGAAAAGGCTGAACCAAAACAAAGCATTAGACTGTTGTCTCTACGGAGTATCCAATTGAAATATGACCATTATTACCACTATGAATCTGAAAGAAATAAAACAAGATTCTTGATCAGATTGTAGATTGCATAGGGTTATAGGAAGTGATGGCAGACTTGGCATATGTGTAGCGCCAGGCCGGGAATGATTTGGCAAGGATTGAGACGTCTTCCTGATGGGGCTAAGTTTGGAAAGGTTTCTTGGGAATACGGACTCTGGTTCATTGAACATCGGTAACGCAGGATACATGAGAAAACTTGCCTCGTCGGCATAATTCAAGTCAACACTTACACATCAGCTCAAGTCAACATCGTAACTGAATAAACATATTAAAGACCATGCCAATGGTAACTTAACACGAATTCAGGGTTGAATGAGGTACACCCTGACCTAGCATCAACACATTTCTCAGGGAGAGAGCATGTTTCTTCAAGAAGTTACCAGCAACTTCTTGGTTTCTTCTAGCTTGTTCAATAAAATGAAATCTCAAATGTGTCGACATATTCACATGCTATTTCTAATTGCACCTAGGTATACAGGTAGGTATGATTGTAGGTATGATAGACTAAATGTGAATAGAAGATCTATCTCACGCCTAATATCGGTCAAAGGTCATTATATTTCCAGTAGCTCTACTGCTCAGCTCGGATCGACCCCTTAACGAGATACATGGGTTTTCTGAATGGGTGCTGATAAAAATAACGCTCCTATCATGGGGCTTTTGATGATTTGTGAACACGCTATTAATTGGTTCATGCACATTACTTTAATAGGCATAATGGAGCAATGGTTCCTGAAGGAGTACCATTAATATTCCTGGTAATCTGGCCTCATCTCTTATTCCTGGTAATCCAGACAAGTACACCCTTTTTTCGGCAGTGAGGATTGGGAGGGGGAGGGGGGATGGGGGAGGGGGGGGGGGGGTGGTATGATGGACTTACTTGAATGTGAACTGTTCCCCCCAGAAGACCATGTCATTCCGCTGCTTGGGCGTGGTCCTGGCATAGAGACTATCATCAAGACAGATCTCACAGAAGTACCTGAGTGCAACAAGGACATAAGAGGTTAAAAATGATAATAACAAAAGAATATATTGAGGAAGAACATGAAGGGCTTTTAAGAAAAGACAGATTAATACATAAGGACGAGAGGGCTATAAGTCATTCAAGGGATAAACTAGAACAATTGATAGAACAACTAGAAAGTGTTTAAAGAAACATTTAAACAACTTCTACAAGCATCATCTACAAGTAATAATTTCTCACTCTTACTGGTAAAAAAAAAAAATAACAAAGAAAATGAAAGCGATTCAGGATAGCTATATGCTGAATAATGATGCAGGAAAACTACAAGATGTGCAGGGTAAAATCCCTTTTTTACGGGATGTTTACAAAAACCTCCAATAAGGTTTTCATTGGCTTTCTACTTTCTAAGATGTTACCCATCAAAATCTCCTTAATTTCTTTTTAGTCACCCTGTATACTTTCAATTTTAATCAAACCAAAGTAGATACGGTAGTTTGAATTATTTCTACATCTTCCAATCAAGCAAAAATCAAAACATTTGTTAATTCATTACACGTTATATTAGATATTCAAAGAAATGGGAACAACATAAATAAAAGTATGGAGTGCAATATAGTTCATGGTGGAAAATAGCTCATACATGTAACACATTTAACAAGGAAAACACACGATTATGGGGGAAATGGTTCACTTTTACTCAAAAACAGAGACCTGAGGTATTCAGGTTAAAAAAAAGCATATATTGGATGTGTGCAAACATGCAGGTTTTCTTGCAATAATTCACAAAAAGAAAATATATATAGAATAGGCATGAAGCACAACGTCCATGGTTTCAGCGGTATTCATGTGGATTTGAAAGTCCGCCAGCAACCTTTTAGGCAGCAACCGAGATCTCTCATAAACCTCTTTTACAAGGGGGCAAAATTATAATTTTTGTAGTTATGTTTAGATGATTCTATGCAACAGTATTGAAGCAAATTTACAAGGATAATACAAGTACAACCATGCCTTTATACATAAAAAAATCTAACAAAACAAAAAAAGAATCTAAGTTTTCTATCTCTTTTTGTGTGCATCAAAAATATATTTTTGGTTTTAAAAGTTTTATGAAAATACCCTGTAATAAAAGTGGCCTGTACTTCAAAGCATTACAAATAAGTTTGTTGGCAATTTGAATCAATATCTAATTCCCTGAATACCACTCGGCTATCATTTACTTACATCTGCAAATAAAACATCCCCAATGGTATTACTTGATACGCATCATTCACAAATCACTCAGCACTATTTACATTCTTTCTATCTCCAACTCAGCCATATAACCACTTCCCCCCACTGTGTTAATATGTTTGCATTGATTTTTGTGTCTAACCCTTCCGCTTGCGAGTAGTATTGTTTTAAGCAGCGAGAGCCCTTATGATATTGACTCTGCGGTATGAACGTGAGATATTCCAACTATGCCGGCCCAGTTAGCATGAGTGAGTCATCGGTGAGAGTGCAATGTGCATGATGGAGATCTAGTCATTTACACCAGGGACAAAACGTTGTATAAAGAATCATCGTAGTACAGATGGGGCACACAAACTTGAACATGTATTGTATAAAGAAACTAGTTTTGAAGAGTGATTTGACATGTTAGCTGGCAAAGCATCAAAGCACACTCATGATTAGCCCTGCCCGGTTAAATAGACCATTGTTGTATGATACCATGTTCCCATTAGAAGTGGACTCTGATTGACTTCATAGAGTTTCCTTTAAAACGATGCTTAAACTGTTTTCCACTTTCCCTATTTGACGTTTTCCTCTACGATGCTCCATTACACAACTTTTAAACTAAATAATACAACTAATTTATTGTACAGCTACATGGTTTTCAAGTAGAGTAGCTATGTGATGGATTGTGCTAGGCTGAAAGAGGGGTGTAACATGCATGATGGATATCTATGAAGCGCTACTGTGCATCTGTGTACGCTAAACATACACCTACGCAAAAAACAAGTGACTAAAGGCCATGATTAATGGGTTTTGAGTTTTGCTTGAGCGAATGGAACGTGTCCCAATGGCGGCTTGAATGCAATCTGAATTGAAATAGTCAACTCTTGAAGTGCTATGAACATATATCACAGATAGGATTTCATAAGATTGGTATTCAATTATTTTCTTCATTACAAATCTTGTACACATCGTTCCAAAATGACAACTTTACAATCCATGACCCTGTGTTTAATTACAAAGTCCTATCCATCAATTCTGTTAATTTGGTTTTCTATCTGAAATTAAAAAAAATATCCATTTCATTTTAGCCCCAATCAGTAGGAGTGTAACACAAATATATGTTCATCACTATGTTAATACTGACTTAAGTAAAATAGAATGTTGAGGTAATAACATTTTGTTTGTCTACTACATACGTTTAAAGGTAAAGACCAGTTATGGTCATGCGATTGCATTGTGAAAGAAACGTTGTGGAATCGATCAGAAAAGGTTGATCATCTAGCATCTAGCATCTGCAAGGTTCTGGAATCATCAAAATGATAAGAAATTTGGCCCATTCTTCGTAAAGTTACAAGTACTATACACAGAAAGATGTATATAGGACTACCCTATATCTCTCACAGACCATGAAAGAAACAACTTTACCAAATATATGAATTAGTAGGCGGTTTCCTGGCAAATTTTTTATCCTCATCTATTAGTCAAAACATATTCTTTCACATGATTGGTAATGAGAGCTTCCATTTCAATTTTTGAAATTGGGGCGTTTCCAATACTGGTCTTTACCTTTAAACCAAACACATGTACACCATGTAACAACCATTTCCTCAAGTAGGCTTATTGCTATCTACATGTGTACAAGCATATCTCAATGAATTCAGATGATTAAGTTCACAATACTATTAATCTGCAAGTAAAATGAGAGAAATAATGCAACATCTACAAATATCATTATGGTACATGACATGGATGAGTGCGCAATTATGACTGTAAGACATTTACACAATTAGTCAAAACATGAACAGATTGATTTCTTCTATGAATCGTTAAATATTAAATGATCCATATCTACACCCACATACAAGGTAATAAACTTTGAATGTATTCAGCTTTAATGATAGAACAGATGCAATCAGGCCTCAAATGGGCGAGTCAGGTTCTCTATTTGATATTAAAGACATCTTTCATTTCAAAATTTCGCATACCGTAACTGTCTTTGTCAAACAAGATTATTTCCAATCTTTTGTAGCCCATATACACAAACCGATTACATTTCATATTCCCATATAAATGTAATTCATTATAATTTTCTTCTTTTTTTAAAGACAACATACACCAACCACCCCAATTGAGATAAACCCCAAAGGAAAAAAAAATCATTTTAACTAAATAACAGAATTTAATGATGCCCCAAATGTGAAATTCAGATATTCAACAATTTATGGCATCTTTACTTCATATATTTCAGCATATTGCCTATTCAAACAATTATTTCCTGTTTTTAATCTCTTTATCCACAACCCCAATCAAATACCTGTTTAACCCTAAACTGAACAATAAAAAACCCAATTTATTCAATAAATATATAGGCCAGGGTGAAAACCAAGACAAACAAATTACAGAAAATATACCAATAAACTTTGTGGTGATTAAATAATCATTCAAACACCTTGAATTTTCAGACACTTTCTACTTATACAAATGTTCACCTTGACAACTGTCAAAAACATAAATATTGTCACTGTGAAACCCTAAATTTTCATTTATTTACACTATAGAAAAGGGGGAGGGGCAGATTTTGTTCTAAAACAAATACACAAACATACAAACAATGTGGAAATAATAGATGCATAACAAACTAAAGGTGATAACTTTCTATATGCTCTTGCATGATAATATTTCACAAACATAATTAAAACTGCCACAATATTGAACAAGAGTGGGTAAAATGAAAGACAGCTGTGAATAAGTATGAGCATAAGTTTTGCGAGATTGGTTTTTAAAATATGTTTACTTACTCTCTTCCATCCCAACTGTGGCATTAGATTATTATTCAGTGAGATAATAAAAACAAATTATTTAAATGTCCCCTATATCAACTTCGACAGGTTAATCTAAAAGTGTAGAGCCTATTAACAGAAAAATGCAAGCCTGGAGATGAAAAATGTTGATAGAATAAGTACGGAAAGTATTATGAGTAACCTGATAAAATTCAACCTGAGTCAAGTAATTTGGATAGCAGCTTGCTAGAATTAGGGAGCTTACTTTGAAGTGAAACATTAAATAATATTTTAATTTCAACAGAGAATGGGGTTTCCCCTTTTTCTTGGAATACTGTTTAAATTGAGTCTGGCGTATAAGACTCCCCTGTCTCTTGAAGACAATAAAACAGTGTATAGTCTACATATTCTAAGATTACTTCATCTTTATTACTCCGTATAGGGAACATAAAAATTCTGCCTCAGGGAAAAAATAGCCGTATTCTGGGCGCTGTCTAATAAATGTTTGCAGCTGATCTGAATCAACTGATTTGATGATAAGTCAGAACTCTGTACATTAAAGACACTGTGACTGATTGGTAAACGAACATAAAACTGACTTAGAGCAATCAAAAGTCTTTATACGGGACGCAGGGTCCTAGACTGTTAAACATATGACGTCATCAATCTGCAATTGTCCTGAGCATTGAGAAGTTAAGGGATGTTTAAGTAGGAGAGAGGAGAAGAGTGAGAGAGAGAGAGAGAGAGAGAGAGAGAGTGTGTGTGAGAAGAGAGAGAGAGAGAGAGAGAGAGAGAGAGAGAGAGAGAGAGAGAGAGAGAGAGAGAGATGATTGTGAAGATTGTACTCACTTTTTCTTTTGAGGGATGTTCTTTGCCTCTACCACCCAGATGTTGAGAGAGGAGTCTGTTCTTCTTCTCTCATCTTTGTCAGGATAGTGTGCACTCAATATGCTGAAACAAAGAAAAAGAGAGATTATTAAATATAAAAATAAACATATACTTTGGCAAGTCCCAGGTACTTGGTCCCATACTGTCCCATACAATACTAACAAGTTGCATAATGTTGGTCCAGGTATCGAATGGGCACAGGCTTCATAAAAGGGGGAGGGGCTAAGGTCTTTCTTAGATAATAAATGGTTATTGAATAGGGAGGGGTGAGAGGGTTTATAGTGCTGTTTTAGCCCCAAAAAACTCAATAGGCAGCACAGTAAGTAAAACTAACAACTGTAATTAATTACTTGAGGACCAATCAATGTCCGACCACCAGATGTAGGTCACTTCCATGTACATAGTACAAGGGAAACAATTTAAATTTCCTCAAGGTTATTTGACTTTACATGATATGGTGTGTCTAACTCTGAACACTGGTTGCAGGAACTTTCATCAATATTGTTTAAACAAATTATCATCAAGTTCTTTGGAGATCCACAGTACCTTATCCACTTGATTCACTTCCAATTTTGCAAATATACCATCAACTTTATATCTTAGAAAATATTAGCATTGCTTCACTTTTATATTTTAACGTTACTATGACCTACAAGACAGTTGCGAAAAGTGACTGAAAGTGAAATTGTTAAATATACCTAATAAAAAATGTGGATCAAGCACTGAATAAAAGGAAGGTATTTTACAGTATACAAAGTATTTTTAGGTGCTTTTTTCCTATTTTATATCCTTTTTACAAGAAAGAGCCAACAGCGAAGTGACAGCAACACATCTTCTTACCCTGAAAGATATTAGTTTCCTTGATGATGTCATAAAACCGTTACACATTACTTTTTGACATTTTCTCCAAGAGGCAATATGATTGGCACTGGCGATAGGACAGGACACGAAGGAATGGATTTGTTTGTTGAGACTGAGGGGGTATTTTTAGCGGTGTCAACTACCTCTCTGGCCAGCAATTACTGTCTTTCAGATAATGCTATATGGGACATACAAGGTCGAAACAATCTACTTCTCAAATGAATATAACACGCACGTTGATGAATATGTTGGAAAATTTGGGAAATGTTTGGATCTAAAAAGAATGCCTCATTCTTTCCAGGGAATAACTGGGACATCGAAGGACAATTAGCGTCGTCTGCAGTTTCTGTTCTCTGCCAAAATTGAGGAAAAATGGATTATTCTAGTCATCATACATTCAAGGGATTTTTGTTTTGTTTTACTCATTCTCTTTGAAGCTATGGCTGTGAGTTAAAGTACTTTTTAGGTTGAAGTGGCTGTTTATACAAAACTTGTCTTCCAATCTTTGTTAGGGCTACATGCAAGGGGATATGGGTTATTGCACCCCGATGCTATAATTTCTGTCCAATGAACGTAGTGGTAGAAACAATGGGCCAGGCAAAAATGGTATCGCCGAATGCCTTTCAGCGAATGAGTATGAAAAGTTAACTGTCTTCTACTCACTGAGGTTAGAACCAATGCAGTGTCATGATATAACAATAACAACAACAAGAATAGTATTAATGATAATAATATGATGATGATAATGATGATGATAATGATGATGATGATGATGATGATGATGATGATGATGATGATGATGACGATGATGTTGATGATGATACTACTACTTAGTAATATAGGATATTTCTATGATGCTCATATCCACTATGCAAGGCACTCAAGGTGCTCATTTATTACCCTGGCTCTAGCTTCCAATTTCACTTCTCAATGCATTCACCGTATTCCTTTCTACTGGTACTCATTTTACACCTGGGTCGAGTGTGGCAAATGTAGACTACTGTCACACCCCTGGGCTTGAACCTACAACCTTTGCATCTCCAGTTAAGTGTGAATCCACTTGACTACACCACCTCTAAATGCGGATGATATGGAAAAGCTTTCTAGGCAATGCTTTGTTATTTAACTCCTGAAAGTGCGAGAAAGATTGGCACAGGAATACAAAACGGAGGAAATTTAGTCAAATCTTGCCTGTCATCAACATCTATTCTGGTCAGTAGAGCACCCCGTCCCCCCTCCCCCCTCACCCCTCCTCAAATCTTCAACCTACGCTCAAATTGGCAATATCCTCTTCACAGTGTAATGTGCTTAACTGCGTCGTTACTTTTCACTCCTTACGCCCGTTCTTCTAATTACAATCCAGAGCCCATGACTGCTTCAGAAATAGCTACTGTGTATTCATTGAAGAGCCCTGGAAAGATGTATCTTTACATTGCCTTCCCTCCCACTCTTTTCCTGTTATCAAAAATGTTATAGCTTAATCATTTTGTTTTGCTGATGAACATCTTTTGCAGTAACTGATACTTGTACATCTAAATGTCATCAACCTCTAAATCACTGAAAGGGGAAGAAAAGGGGAAAATCTGCACATACCCCTGAGAAGACTCTACAACCAATACAGTTTGGAAGAATAACTTCAAACTAAAATGTTGAAAAGTGTTTAAACCCTGCTGTGTAAAAAAAACGAGAGGTAGGGGTTATAAGGGTTAACCTTGGTTCTAACTCTCTTCAAAATTACGGTATTGTGTTAAATAGTTCTAGTGTCCTCTGTTGGATATTCAATGCGGTTGAAGGAGTTGTGGTACCACAAGGATATGATATAGGACCTTATCTAGGCTCCACTCCTGGGTTATGGATATGGTCCCAGGTTGAGGGATTTGTGGAACCGCAATGTTGGACCCACATTTATAATGTTAAGACTGTACATTAAGATACACATAAAATAATATGTGGGCTACCTCTCTATCCATTTGTCCCTCTCGCTTGCTGAGCGGCAGGAGTAGTACTTGCTTCCTAATGAGGTCTTGATCTGAAAGCAATGGTCCTGGCCTAGGATGCTGGAATGGAGAGGTCTGACCACCAGGTCGTTGCCAGCGAGGTCGATGACGTCCAACGATGACTGCTGCCCCAAGTTAAGGGACTCATGGGACCGCGAGGATTTGATGTGAGACCCAAACATGACGGGGCTGCTGAGGAAGAGAAAAAAAAATGAGAATCGAATGAAAAATTATTACAAATTATAAAAGCTTGAACAAAAGACCTTATTAAAAACATACGCAAAGCTTGTAGGAATCAATTGTTGCCAGGATTCCAATGAAGTTATTGATCAGAAAACCAGAAGAAGAAAAGCCTTGCCATTAAAACAACAAAATTTGGGGGAGCAAGCCGCAGAATTTATGTTATCATTTAACAAGAGATAACACAAGATACAATATTGATATTTCTAAATAGGAAGTATATCAACGATTGACACATACTCAAACACTAGCATTGAAGTACGCTCAGTCAACTTCATGCTGCTTCTTCTCCAGAGTAAATATTTTGAGATGTCTTATAAAGTTTATCCACAACAATAACCTGTGAGCTTCAGCACCACACGTCCCGCTATAAATACCACTCGCTGCGGGTAGGACTTTTGTAGGACTGAAATGAGAATTACGTCAGGGCTTATTTTCAAGACATGAGCCAGCGTGGGCCATGACAATAAGACAGGCATTCCTATTCTGGAAAATCGGTTTGTGATTGTAGGACGAGCAAATGATTAACGACAGCCGGTATGCGTCGCATAGCACAGGAGTCAGAGCTACTGAAGGACTCTCAGGCTAGTCCCCATTAGACCAAGTATTCAAAACAGTATTAAAAAAAACCTAGTTAGAATAATAGTATTTCAAAAATTGGTTTGATTTATGGCTTCTGGAGGCCTATCAGCTACCGATGGTCTCTTTTGGACCAAGTTCTTAAAAATTGGCCAGTAATTCTGATTTGGGGAAATTAGCTTGATCACAATTAGCTTGAGTTGTGGTAGCAATGGGGTATAGGTGATTACACTTGTGAGCTCCTACTTGGTGCGTACATCCTTGGCAAGGTGTGTTTCAAGGTGTACATCTCAATGCTGGGGTAATAATAGTAATAATACAAGACCCTCAAGAAGAACTCTTATGAGGCTCCCTGGGTTAATAAAATCATTATCATTTATAATTTAACATGAAGATACAAATAGTGGACAAAATTGTCAATGCAATTAGGATTATAGCTTGAGCGATTCATTATTCCAATTCCCAAGCAAACTTGAGGCTTGTTCAAATCCCACTCTATGGCCGAATTGTGGGCTCATTTGCCTTTGAAGACACACTTAGACTGTGAGATAGCTGTAGGTCATCATACCTAAACAAAAAAAGAACTGCTCAACTTGGTCTAATGAGGACAGGGAACTCCAAACTCAAGACTTGAGAAGCGATGATCAAATACTTGAACCCATAGTTAATGTCCTTCTGATTCTCCATAGACAATATCTCAAGCTCAAATTGTTGAGGCTAATGGAAAAGCATCTATGCCTACTGACTGACTGATGGAATCCTTAGGTGAGTAACCATCCGTGGGTAGTGTTTTCTGGTGGAAGTCCAATACTTTCATGTAAAATGTTGTATATGACATCATAACACAAGGTCAAGCAGTTGGGGATGCCTTAATTGCCCGGATTCCCATATGGAGCATAAATTTGAGTAAGAATAACCTTGTCTAGAATATTCATATGCCATTCCTTGAAAGCTAAAAAAGACCGTTTCAGCCATTATAGAGAGCAGAGTAATTCCTATTAATGTTGAAGACATTGGAGACATAATAAAACATGTTTATTGACCTACCCGACACTACAGACTACCATCACATTTCTAACACAAGGTGATGAAATTTTGTTTACCACGAAAAACAATATCACAGACAAACTTCTTTTTCTTCATCTTATAACCAGCTATTTTCAGAAAAATTAAAGAAAATATTTCAAATTTCTGTATTTATAAGCTGTGAGGCGGACTCTTTTGCAACATGAAACCTCAATTAACGTCACAGGGGTGAAAAACAATATAGTTCCGGTAGACAACACCCCAAAGGTGGTGAACTGAAACGGCTGACAGCCAGAGACTGTCACTACGATTAAATGTTTATGGAATTTTATTTAAATGTAAAAGTAGAGTCTGTTCCTTAAAATAAGTGGACAACAAATTTATAAATAGTGATTGCCTTCCTTTAATCCTAACTAATCATAAAATAAGCCATTTGCCAACTTCCTGCAATATAAGTACAAGCATAAGCATTGACCTGGGGTGATATGAAAGTACATGCCCTTCTGTGCTTGGAAGATCTGTAACATTAGCGTGTTTGACCTCATGCCCATCCCTAACATGTTTCCATCTACCCTTACATTTCTTGAAACTTGACCAGGACTTGTTTATGGAGATGGTCGATTATGTAACATTCTAGCTTGGGTTACAGACAAACGATAGACAATACCATCCTTTTAAGAACTACAAGGCCATGGAACTTGTGTTAAATGATACGAGGTGATGCTCGTCAGCCTTTGACCAGACAAATTTGGGATATAGCTTGTAATTCATTACATGAGGTTTATAAGAGTATTCATTCTTTTTCATCAATTTGAGATGGCAAAAGCATTGACATCAAATATTGTTACCTATTCTTACTTTGCATTATCATATATACCAAAACATTAGATTGATGAGTACCCCTTATATTCACCATAGAGTGCACTTTTTTCATTCCAAATAATAATGTGTGCTTACGGATACAAGCATTCACAAAATTATTTGTACCGGGTATCCTGTGTAAAGGGTGGTTAATTCAGACAAAATACCTTGTCTAAGGTATACGCACATGGCAGGAAATATAACTAGATCAACCCATGACACTACTGTTTCTCAGTGCATTACCTTATTATAGATATATACAGCATTGTAACTGACTTTTGCTTTATATTTGCATCAAGATTTTTTGGGAAAAGATATCAATCAACTGATAATATTTCAGTGTACTACTTGCAAGGTGACTATTGCGTAATTCTTCCCATAGACACAACACAATGGTCAAACCTGGTTTAGCGATCACCTGTCAACAAAGACCACATTTGTTTGTTTCTCATTGAAACATGTAGTAAAGGAACCAGTCTGTAAAGACCAATTTTCTTGTCTTCCTTGGGTGTTCTTTATAAACAGGTTTCACTGTACCTCACTGCTATCAAACCCTAAACCTAACTCCAAACTAAATTTCATTGATGCAACCCAAGACTGGACCCATATCTTTTAGAGTAAAATGTCACTGAAGCATATGTTAGATCATGGACCTACTAAAAATGGTCAGATCCTCTCCGATAAATCTCCTCAGATATTAACCTACGACCGCCTTTTTGGCAATTACCCCTCCTTCAACCCCTCCTTGCAATCCCTCTTTGCAACTCTTGGTCAAATCCAATTTCTGGCTGGCGGTGTTACTAGTGTCTCTAGTCTACCTCACTCCAAACTGCTGATTCACTAACGCAATTCACAGTCAGGTATAAATGGTTAGTCACCACGTTAAAACATTCAAGAATTAATACCAGTTCAGACTGAAGGAAATATGTAACAACGTTGTATAAAGAAACGTTGCATAAAGAAACATTGTATAAAGAAACGTTGTATAAAGAAACGTTGCATAAAGAAACGTTGCATAAAGAAACGTTGTATAAAGAAACGTTGTATAAAGAAATGTTGCATAAAAAAAGCCTTGTATAAAGAAACGTTGTATAAAGAATATTGTAAAAAGAAACATTGTATAAAGAATCATTGTCGGACTAAAATAAAGCAACATCATAATAAAGAAGAGGTCAATTAGCATAACAGCTGGCCAGTCATCACTGCGAGCTAATGATAAGCTATGCCCAGTTATACCGTTTTTGTATGATAAGACGTTCAGACTTAAGCAGGCCCTGTGTTTCATCGAGTTTTGTTCGAGACGAGGCTCAAAAATGCGTTTCGCGATATACTACATTTCATTACAGGAACTTTCTTTATACAATATTGAGACTAGGTAAAAGCAATGACTTATCGTATATACAATGAAATCAGGTAGTCTGAATGAAGGGTTAATCACTGCTCACATTGGTGGAGACAAGATCGAGAGAAAACAAATCTTGACTCACTTCTAGAAATGGTCTGCAGGGAAAAGTCATGAAATATACATTTAATTTAACCTCAATTTTGTCACCAAATCTAATGAAGCAAAGGAATGCCCCTCGAGGTGCAATCTGGAATATATGAAATTGGATTTTGATGAAGGATTATTCTAAAGACCTGTTAGCTTGTACATAATTTTAGTAAGGCTCACCCATTTTTTAATATAAAACCCACAATTTGTTTTAAAAATCTAGAGCAAACTAAAAGAAGTTATAAATTGCTGGGCCTGTAAACTTTCCTTTTCTTCCTCCAAGTAGATCATTAATCAATGAGAGTATACAAATAATTGTTATCCCTTGCCAGGATCTATTTTTTTTTAAAGAAACCAAATGTGTGTACATGACAGGTTATAATGAATGTCTCATCAAGGCATTAATTTGTTTCAAATATAGAATCTTTTATGAAAGATTAATATTATAATCTCTAACTAGTTAAATCAAATTAGTTCTTAATTACCATTGTGTGTGTTTATGGAGTTGCCTTTAAACATACTCAAGAGCAATTAGTATAATTTATGAAGGAACACCACATTGTCATGTTTAAACTACTACTAACAGAAAATTTGAATGAAAGCAGACACAAAACAAAAAAGTTTATCTATTACTCAATAAGGTCTTTTCTTTTTAGAGGGCCTTATCATAAAGGTTGTATTGCCCTTTCACAAACATCTATCTTGTTTGTGTGTTTAATACACATGACATAAAACTATTCTTAATGAGTGATAATTAATGAAGGAGCTATCTTAAATCGTATTAGTTAAATAAAGCTTATAACAGATGAAGGGGGTCAGACATGGCATTTCCTTGGCTGCCTACAAGGCTGTAGAGATATAGGGATAAGATTATCTTATCTTGGGGAAACTCCCATGACAGCAAGCACCAAGTGATAATTGAGATAATGACTTGGGATTAATATCTGTCAATGTTAGATTTGTGGCTCCAATCAATAGAGTTCTTTATTGCTCA